CGAGATGAGGTGGGGTGAAGGAAGAGAGGGAGGGAGGGGTGAGTGGAACGGCAAATGGCAGGGCGAGGTGAGGTGCAAGGAGAGGAGCGTGTAGGCGATGCGAGAAGAGGGCAGGAAGGAAGGCAGGGAGAAGGAGCAGTGAGAGAGGAGAGGAGAGAGAAGGAGGTGAGGCGAAGCGACGAGGAGAGGGAGGTGAGGGTTACGAGATGAAGAGCGTGGAGGAAGGACAGAGAGCGTGAGGAAGGAGCAGGAGGGGAGGTGAGCGGAAATAGATGACGGGTGAGGGAGCGAGGAGAAAGGGCCGGTGAGGGAAAAAGACGATGCAGGGCCTGAGGAAGGAGAGGAAGGGTTGCACGGGCAAGGGAGAGGAAGGGCCGGTGGAGGGAAAGAGATGAGGGTGAGGAAGAGAGCGAACGGGCGGTGAGGGAAGAGATGAGGGTGGAGCGGTGAAGCGAGAGAAGGGCGGTGAGGGAAAGACGCATGACAGGTGAGGCGAAGGAGAGGGAGCCGTGAGGGAAAAGAGATGAGGGTGAGGGAAAGAGAGAAGCGGCACGGTGAGGGAAAGAGATGAGGTGACGGGAAGGAGAGGAAGGCGAGGTGAGGGAAAGGAAGGCAGCGTGAGGGGAAGGAGAGCGAGGGTGACGACAAGGAGAGGAGGGGAGGTAGGAAAAGAGATGAGGGGGTGAGGAAGGAAGAAGGGCGGTGAGCGGAAAGAGATGAGGGTGCAGGGAAAGGAGCAGGAAGGCCGCACGTGAGGCGAAAGAATGGAGGTGAGCGGAAGGAGCAGGCAGGGTGAGCCGGAAAGCCAGATGAGAGGTGCAGGAAGGAGCAGAAGGGCGGTGAGGAAAGAGATGACGCGGTGAGGAAGGCAGCAGGGAAGGGCGACTTTCGAGGGGAAAGAATGAGGGTGCACGCGAAGGAGGAGAGGGTGAGGGCGGAAAAAGATGAGGGTGACGGGAAGGAGAGGAAGGGCGGTGAGGGAAAAGATCTGAGGGCTGACGCGGAAGGAGAGGAAGGCGTCCTCCATGGTGCCTTTTGAGGGAAAGCAGATGAGGCGTGACAGGGACAGGAGAGGAAAGGGCGCGCTTGAGCGAAAAGAGATGAGGTGCAGGGCAAGGAGAGCGAGGCGTGAGGGAAAGAGATGAGGGTGGAGGCGAACGCGAAAGGAAAGGGCGGTGAGGCGCAAAGAGCATGCAGGGTGAGGGAAGGAAGAGGAAGGCGTGAGGGAAAGAGATGAGGCGTGAGGGCAAGGAGAGGAGGGTGAGCGGAAAGAGATGAGGGCTGATGGGAAAGGAGCAGAGGCGGTGAGGGAAAGAGCATGCCAGCGGTAGGGAAGGAGAGGAGGGTGAGGGCAAAGAGGATGAGGGTGAGGCAAGCGAGCAGTTAAGGGCGGTGCAGGCGAAAGAGATGGAGGTGAGGGAAGCGAGAGGAAGGGCGCGTGATGGAAGAGATGAGGTGCAGGCAAGGCAGAGGCAGCGGTGAGCAGGAAAGAGATGAGGGCTGAGGAAGGCACGAGGCAAGCGGCGGTAGGGGAAAGAGAATGAGGAGTGATGCGGAAGGCAGAGGAAGGGCGGCTGAGGGAAAGAGTATCAGGCGTGAGCGGAAGTGAGAGGAAGAGCGCGGTGACGGGAAAGAGCGTGAGGAAGCGCAGAGGAAGGGCGGTGACCGGAAAGAGCATGCAGCGGTGAGGGAAGCGCAGAGGCAGGGTGAGCGCGAAAGAGATGAGGGTGAGGAACGGGAGAGGAAGGGCGCGTGGAGCGCCCAAGAGATGAGGCGCTGAGGGAAGGAGAGGAAGGGCGGTGAGGGGCGAAAGAGATAGAGGGTGGGGAAGGCAGAGGAGGGTGAGGAAAAGAGGCATGGAGGGGTGAGGGAAGGACGAGGAAGCGGCGGTGAGGAAAGAGATGAGGCCTGTGAGGGCAAGGAGCCAGGCAGGGTGCAGGGAAAGAGATGAGGGTGCAGGCGAAGGAGAGAAAGGCGCGGGATGGATGCGGAAAAGATGGAGGCGTGAGGGGGGTGAGGCGAAGAGCAGACAGAGCTGCGGTGAGGGAAAGCAGATGAGGCGTGCAGCGAAACAGCGAGAGGAGCGCCTGAGGGAAAGAGTATGAGGGTGAGAGAACGGAGAGAAGGCGCGGTTGAGGCGAAAGAGATGAGGGTGAGGAGCGAGAGGAAGCGGCCGGTGAGGCGAAAGAGATGAGGGTGAGGAAGGAGAGGCGGTGCGGCCGGCGCCCGCGCAAGGGCGTGAGGCGAAAAGAGATGAGGTGCAGGGAAAGGCAAGAGGGTGGAGGGAAAAGAGATGAGGCGCTGAGGAAGGAGAGGAGAAGGCGCGTAGGGAAAGAGATGAGGTGAGGCGGAAGGAGCAAGGCAAGGCCGGCGGTGAGGAAAGAGATGCAGTCGCTGAGGAAGGCAGCAGGCGAAGGCGACGCGTGAGGGCAAAGAGATGAGGGAGGAAGCGAAGGAGGTGAGGGAAAGAGATGGAGGGGCTGAGGCAAGGAGAGGAAGCGGCGGTGAGGGAAAGAGTATGAGGTGAGGGAAGGAGAGAAGGGAGCGTGGAGGAGAAGGAAGAGGAGGGCTGACGGGAAGGAGAGGCAGGGTGAGGCAAGGCAGCAGGCAGCGGGACGGGACTGAGCGGAAAGAGATGAGGGGTGAGCGTAAGAGAGAAGCGATCTCCTAATTTAAACGGGGCGCAACGATTGAAACGGGGGAGTTTTCCCAAACGGGGCGCGCGCGCCCCGTTTGCGCAACGTAGGGAGAACCCTGCTGCGGATATCGGGATACCGCTAATTTCGACCCCTGCTGTTAACAAAGAACTGAACTGCTTTTGCTATTAGAGCCCCCTCCCTCCTTCTTCCTCCCCCCACCACCACCACTATGCTCGCGCTTGACGCATATCCATGATAACGTTAATATTGCGAAGTCATTAAAGTTAATCAGCTATATCTTTATTACTGTACTACCGGTATAGCAAAGATCAACGCGGTGGCGGGAGGGCGCACTTGATTCGGTTGCCAGTGAGTTTATCAGAAGAATACCCGGCTACAGTACACATCAGTTGAGCGCTGTCACTCTGCGGCGCTTGTTTCACTTAGTGCCACAGACCCCGAATCACACAGCCACCGCCAATGCCTGAGTAGTTTATTCAGGTTTACAGTTTAAAACTACTGCATCAATTGGTTGAACTTTTAAACAAAACTAAGCCATTTCCTGGCAATCATTCACTTGGTATTTTTGAAGTCAATGTAGTAATAGTTGGAATAAAAATTGATTTCTGCACACTGTTTCATCTGTAGTCTACTAATGTTTATAGAAGCTACACAAAAAGTCTTACAATAATTGGTATACTCCCATGTTGCGCTTTAATACTTTATTTATGGAAATCGTTCAATTGTGTCTGTGCTATAAATTTATCATGGAATATATATATATAGCTAATTAATCCTTTCATCATTTCAGATAGAAGATGAACCTTTAAAATTTGTAAAACTAAATGATGATGGAAATTTTGGATTTCCATCTTCTGCGACACCATCCTCCATCAAAATGAGTGGTAGTGTATCAGCTGACTTGGGTGAAGACAATGTGGATAATGAACCAGACACAAGAAAACTAGTAGAAGCGATGAACAGAAAGAAAAAGAAATCGGGTGGTTTCCAATCAATGGGTATATACATTTTTTTATGAATTGCTAAACAAGACATCTTAACATCCGTTCAGATGGTAGACTCGCATATATATGTGTATCTTGGTATCTGTCCTTCTATCAGCCTGCGTGTTTGCCTGTCTGACTACCTATATCAAACAGCTATACTTACAATACCTATTCGGGTTGCTATATACGTATACCAACAAAGTTTATTTTTCTATTACTACACAAATATTTTATTCCTAAATAATTATTAGGAGTGTCAGACCTTCATGTAATCATGTATGTAATAGCAAATGAAATCAAGTATAACAATTTTATTTTGAAGCATATTATAAAGTCTTTAGGTACCTGATAGTTGTACACACCATTGCGAGTGTGTACTTTTATTGGTGTGTTATTCACTAAAAACTATTATATCTAGGTCTAAGCCATCCAGTTTTCAAAGGTGTAATAAGGAAAGGCTACAAAGTGCCAACCCCAATTCAAAGAAAGGTAATATGAAAAGATAACTTTTAAGTTGGAACCAAGGTTTTTCCATTATAGCTGCGTTCACACGTATACACGGCTTAGCTGGTACCGTACTTAGTTGGTGCTAAGGCCGGTTAAAATGCGTTCACACGAGATTCGAGGCTTAGCTAGCGCGGTATAATATAGACTGGTACCCGGTCGACAGTTCCACACGCTACCCTAACGTCGTGCAGCGAACGGGTAGCAGTCTAGGTTCAATCAATCAATACGCGGCCAGCGTGGTGCCGAATATACGGGGCTTAGTTGGCGCGGAATATGATTCCGCGCTTAGCAAGCCGGAGCATTCACGGCTAAGCAAGCCGTGGCTAAGCAAGCCACGTATATTTTAGCGTGTGAATGCAACTTCCTCCTCGTGTGAACGCAGCTTATGCTTGCATTTTGAATTTACTACAAAATAGATAGTTTGTAAAATTGTGTATTTATATCATGATTTATTCAAAAAATTCAATAATAAATTTTTGACAGTTAAACATTTTTATTTTAAAAGGTACCACAAAATGCCAAACCGTGTGAATAAATAGTACAGCAAATGTTTCTTTTTTCTTGTTACTAGTTTAGCAGATGATATTAATGATAAGTTGCTTATTTTTGCAAAATTTTCTAGTTTATCTGTATTGAATTTGAACTGGTTTGCAGTGCATGCCTGTAATCATGGAGGGTAAGGATGTTGTTGCTATGGCACGAACTGGCAGTGGGAAGACCGCAGCCTTCCTCATACCAATGTATGAGAAGCTGAAGGTGCACAATGCACAGGCAGGGATGAGGGGAATCGTACTGTCGCCAACCAGGGAATTGGCTTTACAGACCTTGAAGTTTACAAAAGAGGCAAGTGTGTATGTTTAAGTAAAACGAATGTCACATCTTTCTTATACTCGTGCAAACGTGGGATGGTACGCCATGCACTTGTAACTTTAAATTTAAAGAAGAATTTAATGGCACCACTTTGGCCCACATTTAACAGTTATATTAAATTGATTCACTACATAGTGATGAGAATAATGATATGTCCTAGCTAAGAGCTTGAACAATTGTGAATGTATGTTGTTTCGCTGAGCGAAAAGTTTTGTTGTTGTTTTGTTTAATCGGATTTAAAATCTTATTGTGGGAGATCTTTTTAAGAGCGATGGTATATTTGTTTATTAGAATAGCAGAAAAGCCGGATATTTATAGGTTTGGCTGCGGTGAAGTATTTAAGATTTATAGCAGGTTTAAACGGCGATTAGGTTAGTGGTTGTTTGTTTGACAACACCATTGCGCTACATCTCGGGCGGCAAATACGACTCGACCACGTGTATGTTCGAAGCCATTTGATGCACTGGCTCTACTTGCGCTTTGTGTCTGTCAGCGTCAAGTCACTGTGAATGAGCTCTTCAGTTTTTCCCCAAATTTTACTGTTGTGTGCTGTGTGAAGGGGACACCAGTAAGCCTAGCATTGCGGCAGTAAACTGCTTAGTTCCGGCCAAAGAAGTGTTTTTATTTAGATAATGAGAACTTATTGATAAGTGTGTAAAGGGATATGTTAAATTTTGGTCATTCATGTAAACACGTGTGTGAGAATGTATACTTATAATATAAGTGCTATGTCAGTGACATTGCCATAGGATTTGTTGCCGCTTGGTACAGAGTATAAGGTGATTTAGATTTATGCTTGGTGTACACTGTACAACTACAAGCAGTATGTGTACAAAGATAGAATATGCATTAGGAGATACAGTGTAGTGAAATATGCGTTTAGTTAGAATTTACGATAGGAATAGTGATTCCATATCAGAGTCAATGTTTAAAGTTTAGGATTTGTTTATTGAGATAGACTTGCAAGGTATATTAGGCAAGTATGCTATGTTACACAAGCACAGAAAGAAGGACACAAAGGAAACTTTAATTGTGCAATAATTATTGATTTATGGTATTTTGTATGTATATAATTTTTATTACAGATTGAATTATCGGTCTTCACTGTCTTCAATACATCACAAATGGAAGCAAATAAAGACATTTGAAGCAATTAATCCAATTTTGAGCTTGAACTTTGTTAATTTTTGTGGTCAGCGCGCCATATGTATCTATTATATTTTTCAGCTTGGGAAATATACCTCTTTGAAAATTGCTTGTATCCTTGGTGGCGACAGGTGAGTTAATTTTGGTTGCCATTGGTAACCTATTATATGTTATTTATTTTTAATGCAATAGAAATCTTGTGATACACACACACATATTATATAAGTAAACTTAATTGTATTCTTAGTTGTGGTTATGTTTTTATCATCAGGTTGAAAATGGCATATAACTACTGTAGCATACATAATGTCTCTGCTTACACATTTGGCAACTGGCTAGCTAAAGGTGACATCTATCTAAAATTTTGCAAATCAATTTTTTATGCAGCATGGACAATCAGTTTGCTGCTATTCATGCCAATCCAGACATGTAAGTAGAAAAGTTCTTCATGTGTGTAGTGGGTAGAGCTGACATATACTGATAATGTCAGGGTACATAGCATCATTTGTTATTGATACTCCTGATAACATGATCTTCTCTTAACAATGAACTCTGATATAGAAAACCAGACTGTACATCAAGGAGCACCTTTGAAGTGCATGTAACATTGTGCATGCGTATAAGTGAAAGCGAGTTGCAATGCGGTTTGCTCTGCGAATGATGTCACCGCTTTCAAATTATTGAAACTTTCGTTTGATAACTTGCAGTATGATTGCAACTCCCGGAAGATTTCTGCACGTTCTCATGGAGATGGATCTCAAGCTGGGTGCGGTGGAATATATCGTATTTGATGAGGCTGATAGGTGTGTTACGTAGCCACAGCTGGGGTGCAAGGATCACACTCAATCGTGCTTGCTCAGTGCCTTTAAAGTGTAATTGTATAGTTTAGTGTTGGTGATCACTGGGAAATATAAATATGGACACGCACTGCGCTTACTTCGACATGCGTCAATTTGGTCGTATTTTTGTCTGCACGAATTTGATACGGGGAAAGTGAGTTTACTCATTCACCATCTATTCATCTAATGAGGTGTCTGCAGATTTTTTGAAAGCCATGCACGCGGGTCTGTAGCAGTAGGACCGCGATTCATGTGTAGCACCAGCTTAGCTGCATGATGCGAGAATGATTTCTAGACGGTTGGGAAGTTGGCGCGGCCATTTAATTTTCCACCGTTGCCATGGTTACATCTAGCCATCTAATCTTGCAGACTTTTTGAGATGGGTTTCGCGGAGCAGCTGAGAGAGATCCTGAGCCGGCTTCCGGAGTCTCGGCAGACGCTGCTCTTCTCGGCGACGCTGCCCCGTCTGCTGGCGGATTTTGCGCGCGCAGGCCTCAGCGATCCTGTGCTCATTCGCCTCGATGTCGACACAAAACTTAGCGAACAGTTAAAGGTGTGCGCACTTGTTCATAACGTTTCAGACGCATGTGGATTTGCATCGTTTTCGTTAGTGAAATCGGATGAATCACCAATGAAGAGTAAATATGTCACGGGGTCGTGTACCGGCCATTCACGGAGTCTCGTGCACATTACTTTGTTGAAAAGCTTCTAATTAGAAAGCCACTGATACGTGTACCATTTTTGTGATTGGTCAGCTGGCATTCCTGCAGTGCAGAGAGGAGGATAAGACTGCTGTGTTGCTGCACCTTCTTAAGAACGTTCTACAGCCCTCGGAACAGACTGTCATATTCGTTGCGACAAAGCACCACGTGGAGTACCTGAAGGAGGTAAGGCACCCAGCGTCAAAATGACAGTATCAATCCTACAATGCCCGTAGATAGGGAATTACAACAGTCAGCTTACTCTATTGCTATGAGTTTTAGCACTCAGTAGAACTTCATAAGAATGCCCGACTCCTGATCAAAGGGCAAAAGACACATTTAAGTTTCTCACTTTCAGAAATTGCTCTAACTTTCCAATGCCACAGTTACTCTCCCTATTATCCCTACTACCTTTAAACGCTCTACCCCTTCTTCCTATGCCATATAGACATAGTGTACATCTAGATCTGCAGCTCCTAACGCTTACTTCTCCTTCTCTTCCCACACCGCAGTTACTTTCTCCGGCCGGCATCGAGTGTTCCTAGGTGCTCCCCCTTCCCTCTGTCTCTCGTCCTGTAAGACAGTTACTCTCTCAGGCCGGCATCGAGTGTTCCTAGGAGCTCCTCCTTACCTCTGTCTCTCTTCCTGCATCACAGTTACTCTCTCAGGCCGGCATCGAGTGTTCCTAGGTGCTCCCCCTTCCCTCTGTCTCTCTTCCTGCATCACAGTTACTCTCTCAGGCCGGCATCGAGTGTTCCTAGGAGCTCCCACTTACCTCTCTCTCTCTCTTCCGGCACCGCAGTTACTCTCTCAGGCCGGCATCGAGTGTTCCTAGGTGCTCCCCCTTCCCTCTGTCTCTCTTCCTGCATCACAGTTACTCACTCAGGCCGGCATCGAGTGTTCCTAGGTGCTCCCCCTTCCCTCTGTCTCTCTTCCTGCATCACAGTTACTCTCTCAGGCCGGCATCGAGTGTTCCTAGGTGCTGCCCCTTCGCCTCTGTCTCGCGTCCTGTAGCAACAGATTACTCACTCAGGCGCCGGCATCGAGTTGCTTTCATAGTGGCGGCCCCCGCTTACGCTCTCTGCTCTCTTCTAGCATCAGCAGTTCCTCTCTCAGAGCCGGCCATCGAGTGTTCCTAGTGGGCTCCGCCCTTCTGCCTGCTGTTCTCTCGTCCGTACAACAGTATACTGACACTCAGGCCGGGAATCGAGTGCTCCTAAGGTGCTCCAGCCCTTCCGCTCTGTCTCTGCTTCCTCGCATCACAGTTACTCTCTCAGCCGGCATCGAGTGTCTAGCGTCTTCCCGCGCTTGACCCTCTGTCTCTCCGTCCTGTACAACAGTTAACCCTCAGGCTGGCATTGAGTGTTCTAGGTGCCCCCGCTTACCTCTCACTGCTCTCTTCAATCATCAGTTACTCTCTGCAAGGCCGGCATCAGAGTTGTCTCCTAGGTGCTCCCCCTTCCCCTGACTGTCTCTGCGTGCCTGTGAGCAAGCAGTCTTACTCTCTCAGGCTTGGCTATCGAGTGTTCCAGGTGCTCCCCCTTACCTGCTCTCTCTCTTCCTAGCATCACAGTTACTCTCTCAGGCCGGCACGAGTGCCTATGGTGGCTGCCCGGCCTTCTCTCGTCTGCTCGTCCTTTGTAAACAGTACTCACTCAGGCCGGCATCGAGTGTTTCTAGAGCTTCGGCGCCCTTCCCTCTGTACATCATCGTCCTGTGGCAACAGTTACTCTCTACTAGGCCAGGCAAATCGAGTGTTTCTAGGACTCCCGCCTTACTCTGTCTCTCTCTATGCATCAACAAGCTTACTCTCTCAGGGCAGCATACGATGTGTTCCTATGCCTTGCTCCTACCTCGTTATCGTATCCTGTACGACAACCGTTACTCGTCTGCAGGCGCCGGCATCGAGTGCGGCGTACAGTGTACAGACGTCTGCGCCTTACCTCTCTCTCTGCTCATCTCTCCGTTTCGCGCAGTTAGCCTCTCAAGGCGGCGGCATCCGAGTGTTCCTAGTGTCCGCCCTTCCTCTGTTTCTCTATGCCTTACGACAGTTTACTTCTCACAGGCCAGGCATCGAGTGTTCCTGAGGTGCTCCCCTTCGCCCTGTCTCTGCATCCATGTACGATCGAGTTACTTACTCTCAGGCCGGCCATGCGGAGGTGTTCATAGGTGGGGCTAGCGCGACCTTCGCGGCGTCTGTCTTCCATGCACAGCAGTTACTCACGGTGCAGGCGGGCATGCGGAGTGCTCCTAGACAGGCTCTGCACCTTACCTGCTGTCCTCGTCCTTAAGACATGTCTACTCGTCTCAGGGCCGGCATCTGATGTGTCTCTAGGTTGCTCCCCTTACCCTCTGTCTCTCTTCCTTGCATCACAGTTACTGCTCTACAGGCGCGGCATCGAGTGTTGGCCTAGGTGCTGCCCCCTTACCGTCTGTTCTCTCGTCTGTAAGAACAGTTACTTCTGCTCTCAGGCCGGCATTCGAGTGTTCGCTGAGGTGCTCCGGGCCCTTACCTCTGTCTCTCTCACTTGGCATGCACAGTTACTCTCTGGTCAGGGCCGGCATCGAGTGTCCGTAGGTGCCTCCAGCCTTCCCTCTGTCATCTCTTCCTGCATCAGCAGTTCCTGGCACTCAGCAGTTACTTTTCTCAGAGCCGGCTATCGAGTGTTGCCTAGGCAGCTCTCCGCATTAGCCTCTCTCCTCTCTCTCTGACAGGCCGGCAATCGAGTGGCGCGTAGTGTACAGCTCTCTCTTACCTCTTGGCTCTTCGCATCCAAGTTACTCTCTCAGGCCGGCATTGAGTGTTGCCTAGTGAGTCCGCGCCTTCCGCTGCGTCTACTTCCTGTACGACAGTTTATCTCTCAGGCCGGCATCGAGTGTTGCTCTAGGTGCCCCAGCCTTCCTGCTGTCTGCTCGTCCTGTCAGACAGTTACTCTCTCAGGCGCGCAATTGGAGATGTTCCTAGGTGCTCCCCCTTGGCCTCTGTCTCTCTACTGGCATCACAGTTACTCTTCTCAGGCCGGATCCTGAGTGTTCCTAGGTGCTGCCCCCTTCCGCTACTGGTCTCTCTTCCTAGCATCAGCAGTTACGTCCACTCAGGCCGGGCTAATGCCGAGTGTTTTCTGAGGTGCTGGCGCCGGCGCTTACTGGTCTGTCTCTGCTACCCTGCATCAGCAGTTACTCTCTCAGGCGCGGCATCGAGTGGCGCTAAGAGCTCCCATTAGCCTACGGTCTGGCTACTCATTACGCGACACAAGGCCAGGATTACTGCTCTCAGAGCCGGCGAATGGCGAGTGTCGCCTAGGTGCATCGTCGGGCTTACTCTGTGCATCTCTCCTAGCATCACCAGTTACTCTCTAGGCGGCATCGAAGTTTCTCTAGGTGCTCCACTCTTAGCCTCTATTCTCCTCCTGTAGGGCGACAGTTACATCTCTCCCAGAGCCGCATCGAGGTGTGTCCTAGGTGCTCCCCCGTTACGCCCTCTGTCTCTCTTCCTGCTCAGCAGTTTAACTCTCTCAGGCTCGGCATCCGAGTGTTCTAGGCCTCCCCAGCCTTCCTCTTCTCCTGTACGACAGTTACTCTCTCAAGGCCGGCATCGAGTGGGCGTAGGTGTACAGGCTCGTCGACCTTCCCTGCATCTACTTGCATGGCCACGCGCAGTACCTCTGGCTCAGGCGGCGGCTATCGAGTGTTGCGCTAGGGCTCCCCCTTCCCTCTGTCTGCTACTGAGCATCAAGCAGTTACTTCTCTCGATAGGCTCGGCGATCCGAGTGTCTCCTATGTGCTCCCGCTTCCCTCTGTCTCTCGTGCCTGTAACGGACAGTTAAGCATCTCTCAGCGGCCGGCGGCATCAGTGTTCGCTAAGTGCTCCCAAGCGCTTCCCTCTCTCTTCCTGGGGCATCTACCAGTTACTCTCTCAGTGGCGCGGCATCCGATTAGTTGTTCCTGGGGGGCTCCCCCTTCGCCTCTTCTCTCTCCATCCAACGAGTTATCTCTCAGGCGCGGCATCTGAGTGCGCCTGATGGTGCTCCCCCTATCCTCATCTCTCTGCACCGGCAGTTTACTCTCTCAGGCAAGCGGCAATCTGAGTGTTCACTCGGTGCTCGCGGCCTTACGCGTCGTCCTCTCCTAGGCATCACAGTTACTCATCAGGCGCGGCATGCGAGTGTTTGTCTAGTGCTGCCCCCATTACCTCTCTCTCCTGCATCACAGTTACTCACTCAGGCCGCATTCATTGTTCGACTAGAGGCTCCACTTACGCATCTCTCTCTCTGCTTGCCGGCACCGCAGTTACTCTCTGCATCCAGCCGGCATCGAGTGTTCCTGAGGTGCTCCCGCCTTAGCCCCTCATTGCCCTGCATCGGCAGTTAACTCCTCAGGCCGCATGCGAGTGTTCTTAGGTGCTCGCCCCTTACCTCTGTCTCTCATTCCTGCAATCAGCAGTTACTCTTCAGGCCAGCATCTGAGTGTTCTAGGAGCCTCACTCCCTTGCGGCTTTCCCTCTGTCTCTCTTCTGCATCACAGGTTACTCTCTCAGTAGCGCGGCAATGCGAGTGTTCCTAGCGAGCTCTCCTTACCTCTCCTCTCTCTCTCTCTTCGCGGCAGTTACCCTCGCAGGGCCGCATCGAGTGCGCGTACGTGACAGATCTGCTCTGGACCTCTCTCTTCGGCACACGCAGTTACTCTGCTACAGGCCGGCATTCGAGTGTTCCTGAAGGTCTTCGCACCTTACCTACTGTGTCATCTCCTGCATCACAGTATTACCCTCAGGCCGGCATGGCGAGTGTTCCTAGGAGCTCTCTTAGGCCTCTCTCTCTCTCTCCTGCTTCTCAGACAGTGTAGCCTTCTCTTCAGGACCGCGCATCTGGAGTGCGCGTACGTGTTACAGGCTCTCTCTTTACTCCCTCTATCCTGCAGCGCGCAGTTACTGCTCTCAGCAGCCGCATCGAGTGTTCGCTAGTGTGCTGCCCCTTACTTCTGTCTCTGCTTGGCGCTGCATCAACAGGTTACTGCTCTCAGCGCCGGCATCGACGTGTTCCTAAGGTGCTCCTCCTTACGCTGCTGTGCTCTGCTTCTGGCATCACAGTTACTCTCTCAGGCCGGCATCGGAGGTGTCCTAGGTGGCTCCCCCTTCCCTCCTGTCGTCTCTTCCTGGCATCACAGTTCTCGCAGTCAGGCGCGGCATGCGAGTGTAATCGCATAGGAGCTTGCTGGCTTACGCTCAGAATGCTGCATCTTCTCTCTGCTCATATACGCGGGGGTTGGCTAGTACCCATCTACTGCGTCATCTTAGGCTCTGGCATGCAGTAGAATGCGCAAGTAACGTGTAAGCACATCATTTCTGTCTAGGCGCTAGCATACATTCTTACAATAAGGCAGCCGGGGGCAAGTATAACGCATCTCAGAGCACAGCTATGGCAGAGTGGGCGGACGTAGGCTGTACAGTCTCTACCCTAGTGATCAAGCTCTCATCTGACTCATATCTACTTACGCCAGAGGCAGTTACTATTCTGGCAGGCCGGCTATCCGAGATGCGGCGTGACTATAGTAAGCAGCTTCGTCTTTTTACCAGAAGGCTATATTCTCTCTGCTGAACGTCCTAGGGGCTAGTATTCTCTACTCATGGCCAGGACGATTCCGAGTGCGCAAGTACATACGTAGGCAGCTTGCGGTCAGCCTTACCCTGTCTGCATGAACTTGACTAGCACGCAAGGGCAGATTAACTTCTGGCCTGTGCAGGGCGGCATGGGCGCTGAAAAAGAGGAGAGTGGCGGGCTAGTACGTGTAGCACTTCTATTCCTCTATACCTAAGCCGTGCTACTGCTTAGGGCTCCGACGATCTCCTACGTTCCGCTAGTTACTGCATCATAACTAGGCCGGGCATGCGAGTGCCGGCGTAGAGCGTGGTAGGCAGGCATGCGGCGATCATTACAGTACCAGGGCGAAGATGCAGCATAGCGAAGTTGTGCGAGGAAGGTGTGCGGGTGATTGCTGGTGACGGACGTGGCGGCGGCAGGCATCTGACATCCCGCATGCTCGACAGACGTCGCAAACTTACAGACTTTCGGCGGGCAAGGCGAAGGCCTGTTTGTGCACGAGTAAGGTGAGTAGGGTATAGCGCGCGGTCAGCACAGAGTAGGTGAGTAGGGTATACCACGGTCAGAACTACAGAGTCAACGGTGAGTAGGGGTATACCCGGTCAGGCACAGAGTAGGTGAGTAGGGGTAACCCGGATCCGGCACAGAGTAGGGAGTAGGGTTACAGCCCCAGGTGCAGGTCACAGATGATGTGGCGGCAGGGAAGACTGCTCATGCGGCGTGTCGCGTCGGCCGCGGTACTCGTCGACGATCCGCGCCCTCGATGAAACGCTTGTTATTATAGTGCTAGATACACGTGTAATTACGTAGCTGGTTCGGCACTCGCGATTGTTGTCGTCGCTGGTTCTTATGTGTGCAACTATTGACGTTGTGACGCAGGGAGAGTCGCGAGAGCGGGAAGGAGCGGCACGGCGTACTCGCTGGTAGCAGTCGACGAGGTTTCGTACGTGTTGGACCTGCATCTGTACCTAGGACGACCCATGAATTACGCCAGCAGCAAGACAACACAGAGCCACGGTTTGTGGGCGTGTACATAAGTAGTCGACTTGTAGAATGAATCGTTCCCCATCGGGTAACTTGGGCGACATTTGCTGGAATTTTTCCCTTTGCTGATTCGTTCCTTGTGCATGCGTGACTTTCATGTTCATGGCCAGTGATTAAGAAAGAGATGAGAATTCAAGAGAGTTACACTAGGTCTTCTCTCTATTTTGTATTTGTACTGAAGGTTGCTTTCATATAACAATCAGGAGCAGGAAATTATCTGCATTTCCCCAGCATATAATAAATTTTGTAACTTAGATTTAGTAACTTGTTTTTCATGCATTTTGTTCATTTAACTTATTGAAAAACATTTCAGATGCTGTTTATGGAACCATACCACAAAGTATCATAGATGAACACAATGACCACATAAGAACATTGCACGATGGATCCGATTTGGTAAATCATTCCCCTCATGTCTTGTTTGTATGCTTCTGGATTTTAGTTACATTCTGTAGCAAACAAGTGTAAAGTAATAGTAATATAATTAAGTACATATGACAAAGTTTGTCAATTAGCTGTGCAAGAACTATACAGCAATACACCTGTGCTACAATAACTCAAATTCGCCCATATATTTTCTTACATTTATAATTGTGCTTGTGTTAGAGGTAATTGAGAGGAATTAGATCTACTTGTTTTGGCTGAAACTTTTTTATAGGAATGAATCTCCATTTTTAGAATGGAAGTTAATGGGGACAATGTGATTTCCTTCACAGAATTTCATGTTACAAACGTTTTTCTGAAATGCAGGGTATTTCTGTATTTTCTGAATTTTCCATAATGTAGGATAGCATGAGGAAAGTTTGCAAGAATGCTATGCAACAGTACCTCAAGTCCAGACCACTCGCTTCTGTGGAGTCGTCGAAACGGGTGAAAGAAGAAGTATATGATCGACTTATTCACGTTCACCCTGTAATCGCAACTGGTGGTAAGTGTCTGTACATATATTAACATCCAGTTTATTTTATGATAATAAATTCACTATGTTACAACTACATGTTTTACATCGCAGGGGGTAGAAATTACATTATTATCAGTGAGGTCCAAGGAGCTCCCTTCATGCCCTCTGTAGGTGGAGTCCACAGCAGAATGAATGAGTCTGCAATAAGATCTTCAACACTAAATATAGCAGTAATTAATGCACAACACAAGTCAAAGTAATCACCAAAATGATCACATAAATTATCGTGTTATCTGTTGTACATTAGCACCGAATCTCTGAATGGTCATATATATGGTCCTATGTTCACAGCTATGCTTGAACCGATTGGTTCGATTCCAATTCTTTTGAACAGAGCTTGATATGGAAGAAGACAAATGTAAACTGCTGAACAGCATGAGGCAATATAGGCCAAAATCTGTGAGTGCTCAACAACAGTTGGTCTTGTATATACTGGTCATTCTGTTTGCATTTTATTTTTGTTTTATGTTGTACGTGTGTGCAGTTATAACGCCAGTTATGATATAATTAATGCAAGGATTCCTGGTTTTGTGTATTATCTTTACTACGTTTTGTGTATCAGCATCACAGAACTATTTATAATCTCCTAGCTGATATTTAAAATTTTGATATTTTATTAGTTGATGACCCATGTTATAAAAATTTGTGTCTGAGTATTCTTGAATGAGCGCATTAACACTTTGTTTGCTGTTTCATTTGTATTCTGTATTCAACGCTGAATCAGGAGCCAACTGAAATTTGAATTAGTTTGTAATATAATATTCTGCTTAATTTTTCGCAGACGATATTTGAAGTGAAATCTCATGCAAAGTCGGCCAACTATCAGATGATGAAGGCCAAGAGAGATCAGCATTCGACTGCAATCCGGAGAAACAAGCTGAAACAAGAGCACAAACTAAGTAATCAGATACAGGAGCTGGCAGAGGACGAACGTACCAAAAGACAAGAGATGAGTAGTGATGCAGATATACAGGTACAGTGATGATGTTCACATACAACTGCAATAATGGTGCTAATACTTACAGGTAAAATTGTGATAGCGATATATGCAGCTATGAAATAATCATGAACACGATATACAGTAATACCCCACGTTTTGATATCTCTGGTTAGGTCAAATGAGCAAATATGTGATTTTTCCTGTATTGGGCTTTTTCTACTAAATAAGTACAGTGCTCAATCAGCTAAATAAAACTTAAATGATAAATGTGAAGCCATTTACCAAACAAGTAGGGCCGGGCATCTTTGATATGTGTAATGTACCACTATATATTGCATTGGATTGGACCTACACATGCACACGTGCAACGGCTGTTTATGACATGTCTGCGTGTACACCCACTGAGTCTAATATACTCCGGGTATGTTACCAAGAATCATAGTTTATGTGTTCGTTCTTGATATTACTTATCAACGACATCAACTGGTACAAAGGGCTGTACAGAGAGAAGATCCAATGTAAATTGCAACCAACTTTAGATCCTTATTAGGTAAAGAGTATGAAGGGGCCAAACCCAACAATGATAGTGATAATAAAAAAAGCCAGCTGGTAATAGTGCTCCTGCCAATACCTCCAAGTAATTCAAATTCTAAACACCCTTTCACTCCCAGCAGTATCATGATACTGTGTCACTTAATTAAATCATTAATATATGCATTAAAAATGTTTAATTGCATTTATAATTATCCTTCTGGTATATCATTTAGCTGAAAGATTTTTCATAGGAACATATCTCCAATAATATAATAGAATTCAATGGGAAATGTGATACATATTACGGAATCTCGTGTTACAAAGGTTTTTACTGAAACACATTACTTACCTAATGCAGGGTATTACTGTGCATATATATATATATATATCTTCCATTAGTAATGTTAAATTGGGCATGTAATTACTGCCGTAGCAGCTAGAGGCAAAATGTCCAAAATAGACATATGGTGCAGTAAGTATTCAATGCTGAATCGGAAGCCAACTGAAATTTTAATTAGTTTGTAATATTCTGCTTAAATTTTCACACAGAACACATTTGTACGCATCGTTGCTCCTAAAGGATGCAGAGACGGGTTTGACTATGGGAAAAAGGAGAAGAGACGACGATTTGGTGTTAAAGATGATGAGTTTTACATACCATACAAATCGGCAGATGCAAACTCCGAGAAAGAGTAAGCACCGCACGGGAAATAGGACAGTTAGAAGCTACTCGATTAAACTATAGTAAATACTTGAGGTTTAGGGTGAGCCGTTTTCTTAACTAAACTTCAAGGCATTTTATGCGACTATAATCGAAGATTTTGTTGTGCCTATTATATATTTATTGAATTATGAAACAAAATTAAGATGCGCATTTCTGGAAAGATCTCATGAATCGTTCAGTTAACCCTTGCACTGTTTTGTTTGTGCTCCGTGCTAGGCTGGGCGTAGACAACAGTGGCTTTGATCATCAGGCAGCAAGTGCCATGTTAGATCTGACAGCTGATGACGAATCACAGATGAGAAAATCCAACAGCCAACTCGTCTGGTATGTGATTGTAATTACCTGCTATACTGTGTGGTTCTGCAGTTGAAACCCTATTATATCGCAAATTATTGCCAATAGCAAGTTCTCATAATCGCTTACATGTTCTGTCCGGTATCAAATGTTGAAGCAGAAAATGGCAAGTGCCTTGTCGACCTGTGTGGTGTGACCGACATTTTATGTGGTGTTAGATGACGTCGTAAATCGTTTTTGTGGAAGCCGACGAGAAAAATTTAGCAGCGATCAAGCACGCCGTGGTGCATTCTTCTTTGCAATACAGTCTAGATCTCAGTGAGGCGTTGTCACTTCATCTCTCATTTTCTTCAGGGATCGTAAAAAGAAGAAGTTTGTGCAGCAAGGCTCGACGGATCCCAACAAAAAGAAGGTCAAGACTGAGAGTGGCTCACTGATTCCAGCCACGTACAAGACGAAAAAGTATCCTTATCACGTTTTACTTGGGCCCCGAAGTTCATTGCATCTACAGGTCAAATCCAATTTGTAATTTAGTCAGATATCAGGCGAGTTGATATGAAGCACATCAGCAGAGCACTGTGAAATGCCTTCAGCTGCAAACAACGTATTCAGGTTTGATCGTTTAAAGCGAAATACTGGTCTCCAGTAGAATCTCATCCTCACTGAAGTGGTAAACTGGCTAGAAATTTGCTATCGTTATTATACTTATCAAGCTTTGATTTAGATACCAGGAGTGGTTAGAGAAGAACAAAGTTGCCCACCAGGACAATGATGACGATGACGACGACGACGACGACGAAAAACCCCATAGCTGGAAGTCTGGCAACAAGTTTAAAGGTAAAGTGCTAGAATGTATATATGATATAATGAGTGCTTGGCTCAAGAAAGAAGATATAGTACTACTAAGCATATGACATTGACCTGCTTGTTTATGCGAAGAATTTTTACGAATCGTTTGTTATTACATTATTTTACCTTATACCCGTAGGAGGAAGAGGAGGAAAGTCTCAGGGTAATGCACGGGATGGCCAGCCTTTCAATTCAAGAACAAAGAAAAATCACTTGCAGAAGCAGGGTAAGGGAGGAGCACAGCGTGGTAGTGGGAGACCAGAGCGCGGTACAGGAAGAATACAGCAAGGAAATCAGGGACTGGTGCGGGGCAGTGACAGGCCACAAGGGAGCAAGAGGAGGCCACCGAAACGTGAGCTAAAGACCAGGGATGAGATATTCAAAGATAGGAAACGTAAAGCACAAGTGCAGAGCTTACAGAAGGGCAGGGAGATGCGTAAGAAGCAGAGGAATTCACAGCCGAAAAAGAGGAGGTAGCTGTACCATGTCTAACGTGGTCATAATATATACTCATTGAAACACAGTCAACGCATGTGCCTAGGAATTCTTTTTGGCTTATGATACCACAGTGCAGGTAGTAATAGGATGTACTCATAATACACTCAACATGAGATTGGATTCTCACATGTGCGGTATTATTGCGACAGACTACCAACTAGTGTTAGCGTATACAAATTATATTCTGTGTATGTTGCACATTTCCGATATGCTGCTGTCCTGGAAACATGATGATTACCATTGATTTATGATTTCCAATTAATAAATAAACAGTAAATGATTTGTAATAATATTACAATTTTGACAATTTTTAATACGAAATGCAAAAGGTGAAACATGACAAGGGTAAAATGCACGGAATCCCGTGTGCGTACAATTGTTGAGGAAATTACAATTTAGTTGAGTGACATTTGGTATATATGTTACTAGCAACTTACATGGGCAAAAATATATTTGCAACTCGCAAACATTTTCACAATTGAACTTCTACGTGGCTTTGTCTTGCACACAAATGAAGTACTAGGAAAATTACAATTCTGATGTTTGTACATTTTTTAAACATGAATAGCACATGATAAATGTATATACACTAAAATTACATAAAGTTGTGCAAAACCATGGCTACGTGTACATGCTGGTTGAAGTCAGGTTGTCTTACTACCAGATGTAATGTCACATAGGACAATTACAGAATCTAATTGCCCCAATATTCTACTTTGATGTTTTACAACAGCTAGACATCGACTTCTTTATTTTCATTTTGTCATTTATATGCTTACATTACACAAGTCCCTTTGATACTGCGAGTACAGAATCCAAAAAATATTAATGGGGGCTTTATTAATACAGACATGAGAAGGTACACTTTCAAAGGTTTAATATTATTTATTACTCGAGTTTCGTTATTTCTGATAAGACACAATTTTAACCGTGTTTGACATCACCACAGAAATGATGAATCAATTTAAAAATAAAAATAATGATTGATAAAATATTAATCGCAGCCTTCCCTGCACACAAATACATGGCAAGCTAAAAGTTTGCATACAATGTCTGCCTAGCCCTTTCAACAGCATTTCGAAACCTCTTACCGACCTTTCACATCTATAAAATATTAGTTTCATCACAATACAGTTTGCTTCTAAATTGACATTGAACTCAGTGACCTGAATACTTTGACATTACATATGTAGATGTGCACTCAGCAGTTGGATAAACTCTCCAACCACAATCTCGCGAATGAAGGAAAATAGTGGACATCAAACAAGTCAATGTAATCTTTTGTTTATAGCAACACAGACCAGTTTCACGGAATGTTTAAAGGCTGACAAACAGAGCCATGTACTTGGAAATATGCTCAAACTTTCCCAGAAAACTGGCCATGAGCACAATGTCCATTTAATAGGATAAAACATTACACGTCTTCATTTTTCTCTGCAAGTTACTGGGTACCAAAAATGAACATAGATACATTTGTTACTTTACATACACATGTACATGCCAAAATTATTACAAATGGTAAATCATAAATAATAGTCAATGACACCTTTTTGCAAAACATTTTGAACGATACAACAGTACGCATGTACCCGCACATTTCTGCACACGGTTTGAAAAAAAGAAGACTTGCACGTTTTTATCTACTCATCCCCAATAACTTTTCCTGCGTGATCATTTTATAACCCCCCACACACACACGTACACAAACAGAAACCGATTCATTCTACATCCATCTTCGTTGCATACGCATCGAGATCAGCATCCAACTCCTCGGCAGTGACGTTCTTGCGCGGCTGTCGGCCTCCTCCTCTGCCGCCGCGGCCTCCTCCGCGACCGCGCCCGCCTCCTCCTCGCCCTCGACCTCCTCTGGGGGTCCCGCGGAACCCTCCTCCTCCGCCGCCGACGGTGCCGAGGCGGCTCTTCGTGAATCCACCGCCGCCGCCGCCGCCGCCGCCGCCGGCGGGCGACCGCTGGACGACGGCGACCTCTGCCGCCGACGTCACCAGCTGGATGTTCATCGCGCGGCCGTCGAGCGGCACGTTGTGGTACTGCTTCATCGCGCGCGTCGCGTCCGACCGCCGCTCGAAGACGACGTCGGCCGTGCCGAGGGAGCGGCCCGAGCGGTCGTAGTGCACGGCGGCCTTCTTCAGCGGCCCGAACTCGGCGAACAGCTCCTGGATGTCGCTGTCCGACACGCCAAAGTCCAGGTTGGAGACGAGCAGCTTGCCGAGGCCGGCTCCGGCGCCGACGACGCCGACGCGGCCCCCGACGCCGGCCGAGCGCCGCTTGTCCGCGCCGTCGTACATGTCGTGCTCCCACACGTCGGGCATCTTGTTCGGCCGGCTGTACGGCACCGGCTTCGTGACGCGGCCGCCGACAGCGCCGGCGCTACGCAGCACGCCGCGGAAGGTCGACGTGCCGCGACCGCGTCCTCCGCGCGCGGCGCCCCGTCCGCGACCGCCACGCGCGCCGCCGCGACCACGCCCTCCTTTGCTGCGGTTCTTTTTTATGATGTCGTCCAATGACATGTCGACGTTGTCACCCATTCTGATGGCTGTGCTAGAAAAGCGAACGAGAACAGACAAAGGTTTATATAAGGGATGTGATCAGGGAAAGAAATCAAACGTGTACAATAACACCAGATGCAAGCCATGTATTTGAATGCTCCATGTTCTGATAAAGTGGTTGCCTATGTCCCATTGTCCCTATATATAACCCAGTGCCTGAAATGGGGGCCAGCCGAAAGCTGGCCCAAAAAGGGGCCAGTACTTTTGGGGCAAGTACATTTTTTTAGTCACTGGCCCAAATGCATTGCTGGTTCGAGCCACTGTTCAACCGATGATCGAGTATAATCAATGATCGTGACATCACTACTTAACCGCATATATGGGCATTGGATGGCGGGGAACAATGTTGTGATACTCCCGTATACATTCACAACTGTATTGTTTAAAACTGATAAAACAAAACTAACCTATCGCAGTGGGTCAACAACTGGCAAGACATTAAATGGGCTATCGCTATTGTCACAACAGTGCTGGGTAGAATCAGCATGGGACAGACCGAATCTCATTCACATGGCTTTGTGCCAGGGGTAGCTACAGAGTGCGGGGGGAGTAGTAGAGAGCTTCCTCTTCAATCAGAGGAAAAATAAGTGAAGTTGCGGAATCTATGAAAAATTTAAAGTCACTTTTCATCTTTATTGCCATGTCAGTCACAGGCACTTGGAGCCGTTTCAAATGATCGCAGATAAACATAACATATATTGTATTTGCCACCAAATTTGTAATGTTTATGCACTCTTTATTGCACAATAATTCCACCATTTTAATAGGAGAATTACCAGTATCAAGCATTTGTTGCTACACGTTTTATTTTCTTCACAAACTTAAAAATTCTACTTTTTTGTGACTCGCGTGACACATCTTGAGGATGTTTCCATCATATAAATTTAAGGAAATGCTAATGCGAATTGATAGGCATCCTAATTTTTTATGAAATATGATGTATTGGCTACTTAATAAAGGCTGGCTTATTCATAACTGAAGTGTAGATAATAGAACATTTTTCTGATTCTGAGAAGCACTTTTGTTTCCATGTTTGCCGTCATCAAGTTCACTCACATTCAAGAAGCTGTGATTCTTTATAAAATGGTCCATTTACATGAAATTTTGGATTTAAACCATTTCATTATTTCTCTTAATAAAAAAAAATTCATGTCAATAGCTCTCACTTCAGTTTTCAACATTGGTGTATACACTTACGTGGAATGGCTGTTGTGAATTATTAATATTATACGATTATGTTCTACACATAAAATTTGTGGTTAGTCCTCCCAAAAATGCTACATCTTATAGACAGGCAGGCACAGCTACTAGAATTAGAGAACGAATAAAGGTGACTCCAATACTAGATAGTACCAGTAGTAGTAGTAGAATACATAATTAAATACCAGTAGTCAGGGGCAGATCCAGAAGGTTTGGGTGACCAGTTTCCATAGTTGTAGTCACAGCTAGGGGGGTCCGGGGGTTTTTAAAATATTTGGCTATATTTGGTGCATTCTGGTGAATTTTGAGGGTCAATTCTGAAGATACCCAGCCTGTGACCGGTTTCTGGAAACCGGTGCAAACCGGCCTAAATCCGCGCCTGGTTGTACTAGTAGTACCACACACAGTTATAGTTATAATTTATATTTATATACAAATTATGCATCCTTTCTCCCTTTTCTCTACGTAAAAGACCGTTTTCCGTACATGTATTCGAATGATATATAATAAAGATTTAATAATAAGAAGAATAGACATTTCGACTTCAGAGCGTGTGACACGTCACAAATGAATTAGCCTGCGAGTAGAGTTGCCCGGTCTTTAGGCTATCACGACCCACGACACGAGTACAGCGTCAGCGTATAATGCAAGGGAAAAATTACACGACAAAACAAAATTGAAGCTACCTTATAATACCAGTACATTAGAAAGTGTGATGCTATTATTCATTCATAATTATAAACAGAAAACAGGTGCTATGAAAGGGTTTGACCCGGACTAGCAAGGGTAGACAAAAACCGGCAAGCAAAGTTTCGAGTTCTGTGCAAGCAGTCAGTTTATCCTGTAAGTTGTAACAACTTGCACAAACAGTCTCTAATCACTATGTAACTATTTAAATAATTTCGTTCATTTGATTATTCTATATAATTAAGCATCAACAAACTTACTTCTTCTGCTAATAAACGTCTTGTTACACTTTCAAAATACTCAAAATACACGAAATTCAAACACGCTGAAGTATAAAGAAATGGCGCACGCGGAACCCCTGTTGCATCACAGACGCAACCACCGCAATAAAGGTACCTATCATCAACGTTACAATCGTCGCCGCTGCGTAGCTACAATGGGAATGCATACAAACAAGAGCGTATTAAGAAGGTTATACCTTCTTTATACGCTCTTGATACAAACATACAAGACTGAAGAACCCTAGCTAAAATGCGTACAAATATAGAAATACTCCAGATCAATTGTCTTGGCTATAATATATACCACGAAATTAGCTAATTATGTGACGACTGTAATAAAAGAAAGTTAGCAAGGCATAGCCAATCGCCTAATAAAAATTCGCTTGCTGTAGCGCTACCATGATAATACATATTAATAACTCATAAGCTATTTTATTTATTTATTTGTTTGCGTATTTAGGTAATTATTCATATATACATACTGTTACAATAAATTTTAAATTCCTGAAATTAGATAACTACCAAGGATATCTAGTGTCGTTGGAGGCGTGCGAAGGCATTGGAAGGACAAATTAACACCTTTCTATAATGTTATGTTCTTCTTTTTCATAACACTTCTTCCTCTATTTAACATTTCTGGGGCATGGAGTGAACAAAATAATACACTACTTAGGCATGTCTCTACACAGGCCCGTAGCCAGGGGGGTTCGGGGGGTTCGAAAATGCAGCTGCTAAAATATTCATTCGTGACGAAACGTGCAGCTGCTCGCATAACAACAATCTAGAAATACAACAATCGCGTAATGTCTATAGACCCTATACGTTAGGCATTATATGTACTAGGATATAAGCAGGCGCCTATTTAGTATTTATGCACTCCTGACATAAGACTTAGCTATAGTAAAACTAAATTGGACAAACGCACGCATGCACGCGCACACACACGCATGTCTGCACGCACGCACGCACGCACGCACGCACGCACGCACGCATGCATGCATATACACACACACAACTGTGAATTATGCCATCATTTACGTAGTTTCAATAAATATGTAGTAATTAAACCAGGGGCGTAGAGAAGCCGGTACATACTTGTTAATACTGTATATATATATATATGTATATATATTATATATATAATATATATATAATATATATATATATATATATATATATATATATATATATGAAGAGTACATAATGGGAGATATCAGGAGTAGATAATATCCTCCTCTCTCCCTATTATCTACTCCTGGAGATATATATATATATAGATAATATAAATAGTGGCTTGTTTTCGAAATAACGTTCCATTTGTCCACGGCAGACATATTGATTAGGGAGAGTAATTTTGCGTCAGCAAGCGATATTTATTACCATTTGCGTTTTCACGTGTGAATAGGCTGCGAATAGTCCCTGTCTATTAGGCCGAACGAACACAGTCTCACTATATAATTGTAAAGGGGTTAAACCGCTTTCATGTTCATCATCCACACTGAAGTGCTTAGCTTGCAGTTGCTAAAATATTCATTCGTGACGAAACGTGCAGCTGCTCGCATAACAACAATCTAAAAATACAACAATCGCGTAATGTCTATAGACCCTTGTTAATACTGTATATATATATATATGTATATATATTATATATATAATATATATATAATATATATATATATATATATATATATATATATATTATATATATAATCAGAAGATATATTGAGAATATTGATAGACTCCTGATATAATGGTTTCACATATATGAAGTGAAATGAGTGTGGCGTCATAAATCGATAGATAGCTAGATAATTAAATGTGAAGGACGCATCTATACACACAGCATAGATATGTTCAGTAGTAATTAAATAACAAACGATAGTAAATTTAATGATAAGCTATATTATTATATTTTTAATTTACAGTTGTTATTATGATATCAGACGCGAATTGAAATAAAAAATAACAACAGTTGCATTTTATTCACTCCTGATATTATTAGTGCATTAATTACTTATCACTGTTACGGTCAAGATAATATATACGTAATATGTATTATATATGCATAATTATGTACGTGTACGTGTATCCATAATAAACACATTGGCGTGTGTGCGTGCGCGTTTATGCCATAACCCATGCTACCATCAATCTCTTAGATCAAGTGCTTCATGATTGATCTGTTCTGTTGTCTCTATAAGCACGACCTCAGTTTTGATCGGATTTAATCACGATGTCGTCCCTAATTATCGCGAGACTTTATGCGTGGGTGTGCGAGTCGCGTCTTAAACTACGTCACGAATTTTCTATGGTAAAATTTGTAAAATTTTTGTTGCCATTTTTTTACATTAAAAGTAGGCACTAACGGGACGTCAAATTCTTACCTGATAAGATTGTTTCTCAACTAGTTAAAAATCCAAAAAACCTGGACGATTTGATATTATTGGACGATTGGATGATATTATTGGACGATTTGATATTAGTGTTCCTGACATTAATTGCTTGCTATGGGCTATGTATGAGTCACGAGTGTATGTTCACATCGAACAATATAGTAAAATAAGAAGTATAATGCAGCAATTTAACCATAAAAAGTGAACAAAAGTACTTATATTTTGTGAAAAAGTGGAAATATATTTTTTATTTTTTACTATTTACGGTGACGTAATCACTTTAACCAAGCATTCTATCACACGCACACGCACGTACACACGCACGCACACACACACACACACACACACACGCACACACACATATATTACGAACATTGTACTACTATTAAATGACAATACACTTGTTTTTCTGTAGATATGCGAGTACATCATTTTATTGCCAAAATAAACTGGGTATAAAATAACAATAGCACACGTAAAACTGTAGTTGAATATTATTTACACTAGTCCAGGGCAGCTATAGCTGGTCATACGGGACCGGAAGCAAAACGCTATACGCACCACGCTTGTTTTGTGCCGGGCACACACATATTGGACGTGCCGCTTAAACCATTACTATACCATATTTTTTTGCAATACACGTTTAATCTTCCCACATCAGCGTAATAGATTTTACTTCGGTAAATTAGTATATGGCCAAGTGCACGTCCAATACTATTTACACCACAAAAAGCAAATTCTCGCAATCTTACATATTTTTGCAAATCCCCGTTTACAATAACAGACCGAAAAGGGCAAGCAATCATTCATGCATTCATTTACATAGCTAATGATTCATTATACGCAGTTTATAGACGAATAATTGATTAATTTGCTAGGCTAACATAGGTAGATTCAAGTAAAATTCTCTTTAATGACAATTACAAGATTGCGTTTTCTAGTGTCATTTTTCCCGAAAGTTCAACTAAATTGAGTAATCTCAACCTGCATGTCGGATTTAATGTGTCTATTTTCAATCAGCAATAATTTTAGGACAATAACACAGAGTCTATAGGTTCCAAAATTAAGCATACACATAAAACCAAACAGTTCATACGCATGGAAATATGCACAATATGGAAATAGATCATTCTTATAAGAACGCATTCGATTGTGAACCAATACGAGCTCGTTCTACTTTGGACGCACTTAAATACATTTTTACCCGTGGCGTTCATCTCAAATATCTCCCGTACTGCAATACTTTAATAACAACACGTGGAGATTAAGACCCTGTAGTCTAAATAATTTCGTTTTCGAACAGTAGGTGCTTACACTTCTGCAAGCTGGTGCAGGATTTAAAAGTAAACAGGCAACCCAGTCTCGTTTCTTATATCCAAATCAAACCATAAAATCAAACCATCTATAGTACATGCCCAAATATATATATATATATATATATATATATATATATATATATTCACATTCGACAGTTCCAGCGAAAGAAACGTCGCCATTGCTAGAAACATAAATACCTGTAACCTTAAAAGTGTCAAAGTTGAAAGTATCATATTATTTTTTATGGAGGAAAATAATTTGACTTTCTACTTGACAAGCGATTCATTATCACAATATAAAACAGCGTAATGCATTAAAATTGTACAGGTCTTCTTCTGTGATATATCACCAGGTTGGATGTAAACGTTTTAATATTGCACAGGTCCCTCTTTTCATTAAAACGTTCAGAAAAATTCATCGGAAAGAAAGCGTTTTAGAGGATTTCCCAATAATACGCACGCACCCACACACCACCAAACGAAAACGCGCGCGCACTTCTCCTACGCGTAAATCAATTTTAATCACGCGCTGTGTGCACGTCTGTATCAGTACGAATTCCTGCGAAATACCCAAATGGTAATGTAACGAAAATCACTTACTATACCTAGCCATTCTAATGACTTGGGTTTCAATATAATTTCACAAAAAAACCTCCACATTCACTATGCTAATAAATACGTATTAACGCGCCGGAATTCATCATTACACGCTCCCAAGACGGTGAAGGTCGAAATGTGCAGCTAGGTACTGCATATTCAAAGTCAAAGTCAATCTTATAGTAAGAAAAGTCAAACTCAAAGTCAGACTGAAATGCACAATACTGGAAGTTCCCACACAAATTCTCAGGGATTCCCACATGAATTCTGAATGATACCCACATAAATTCTGAAGGATTCCTCCATGAATTCTCAAGGATACCCGCATGAATTCTAGAGGATATCACATGAATTCCAAAGAACACTCACATGAATTCTGGAGCATCCCCACGTGGATTCTAAAGAAATCCTACATAAATTTTGGATGGTGCCCACATAAATTCTAAAGGCTTCTCACAAGAATTCTGAAGTACTCACACATGAATTCTAGAAGATTCTCACAAGAATTCTGTCACGATATCACATCAATGCTAATATAATCCCAACGTTTATGCGATTTCATATGCGAGTATATGAATTGTTGTTTTTTATTTGATGTCAATGCCATTTCTCTCCACGTCTTTTCATGTAGTGGTAAACAACGAATCGCCTAGATTCACTTCAATCTACTAGATTCTCTGTTAGATTCATACCATTCGTTATCGCCAAATTACAGCGTGACAGTACCATAAGTGGGTGGGTTGAAATCAGGGTGCAACCAGCGGGATACGTGATGGTCTGGATTCAGCAAACCTCAAGCTCTACAGGCAGGGATCGGGGTACTCCTACCTATTGCAGGCCGATAGTATAGATATTCCTAGTATGTATTCTTTCTGGGAGACAACGCAGGTATTAACATTTTGTAGATTTACTCCGCTATATAGCTATGGTCAGACGGCAGGTTCGTCAAATGAAGCCCTGAGGCTTAGGAGTCTGCGATCGGCCGCCGACTTATATTCATCCAGTAAGTGGTAGTGTCTCGCTGGATGAGATATCATTTAGCTACAGCTGCAGTTGTGGGTACGTCAGCATGCCCTCTCCCCCTCCTTCCCACCTCCCCCCCCCACCCTTCATGTCCTCATGCACTAAACTGGCAGGTGGTAGTGTTCGTCCCTGCCTCGTTGGGTAGAATGTTTAGCTACAGCAGCTGTCGCGGGTACGCCAGCACGCCCTATCCCCCTCCTCCCCTTTCTTCCTTCCCCCATCCTCGTCTCCTCCTTTCCTTTCTTCCTTCCTCCATCCTCGTCCCCTCCTTCCCTTTCTCCCTCCTCGTCCCCCTCCTTCCCTTTCTCCCTCCTCGTCCCCCTCCTTCCCTTTCTCCCTCCTCCTACACTGAACTGGCAGGTGGCAGTGTTCGTCAGTGTCACGTTGGGCAACAGATTTTGGCTGCAGCAGTTGTTGCGGGCACAATTCAGCACGCCCCTCGCCCATGTAGATATGTTCATGGTATGAATGATAGGGTTATATATTTATGCACATACAGGAGTATAAGATTCACTTGCGTTGTAATAGATACGATTCGCCATATATGTGGTCGCACGACAGGACCTGAGGTAATCTGGATAATAACAGAGTAAATAGAGATAGAGCGAGTTTGATATAGACGTACACGTATAATACTAAATCTTGCACAGAGAATAAGACTGATGAGTCTAGTTGTAACAGGTAGACAGGAGACTAGGGAGACGTAACAGTAGATAACATTGAGCATTATCGCTGTTCACTGTTCTTTACCATTCGCTCACTGGCTGTCCACTTATGTTCGTCATCATTATGTAACGCTGTTACCACGAGCCTGTTGTTGAGATGCAAAATTTCGTATTATATAATGCCAAGAACGTGTAGATATTTTTAACTGAATAGCTTACTTTGCGGTAGACGTACGCCAACGAGGGACTGAAGTTGTAACACGTTTTGCTGAGAATAGAATCGCGACGTCATTAAATTTCCGGCACTTGTGTAGCAGTTGATTCGAGAACCTGCACAGACGAGAGACTCACATTTTCTAACGGACGATCAGCAACATTAAAATTGATCTGTATCAAAATCGATAAAGGAATAAAAAAGATAAATACTAAAATGGACGTAGCCCGCGAACGGATCCGAGACGTACGTCCACAAAATTCACTAATTTGCTACGTAATGCAATCGCTGTTTCTTATGATATATAACTACCTGTAGTATTCATAAAGCAGAGTACCAACATATATTTACACGTTTTCAGGATGTTCATTAATTGCCGTGTGAGCCAAGGTAACCGGATGCGTGGCAATCAGCAGTTCGTCATGCACACTCACAGTCCCTGAACACGTATCATACCGAACTCGTAATGACCTCAGCTCACACTGCAGTCGCTTGTAAACAAATCGACCATGCGAAATTATCTAAGCAGCAACGATAATGATGACTCTACTTGAAGGGTTTTGGAAAAAGAGTGGAAGGAAACCCCTAAAGCGTTGCACCAGCAGCCTTAGGGCCTAGGTAACGCAGTGCCGTATATAGCCATGATTACGCTGACCTAACCACGCGGAAGAGATGGACACAAGTGAAGCACAGAGGAATAGTGCATATGATGACACTCCCGCACTCACGCAGTGACACACACACGCACGCACGCACGCACGCACGCACGCACGCACGCACGCACGCACGCCCCCCCACCCACACACACGCGCTCGCACACGCACACGCACACGCACACGCACACGCACACGCACACGCACACGCACACGCACACACACACGCACGACCGCACGCACGCACGCACGCACGCCGACGCACGCACGCACCCACACACACACCACACACACACATACAACACACACACACAAACAGACACGCACGCACACACATGCAGACCCACAGATAAATGCACACGCAAAGATGCACACGCACACATATACACACGCGCACGCAGTGCATACACGCACACGCGCGGGTATCTATTAGGTGTAAGTGCGATTTAAAAACATTGATAATTATCATCGAGACGCTTTCACCGCGAGCCGTCTCCGTTGCTCAGCTCTCGTTATTGCACCAGCGACCCTCTCCAGAATCCCACCGGCGCCCCTGCTCCGGCGGCCGCCACACCCTACCTCGGTGGCGCCCCTGCTCCGGCGGCCGCCACCACCCTACCTCGGTGGCGCCCCCCTCCGGCGGCCGCCCCCACCTACCTCGGTGGCGCCCCTGCTCCGGCGGCCGCCCCACCCTACTTCGGTGGCGCCCTCAGGGGTTGTCGGGTATTTGTGGCAGAACGAGGCGTAGTAGTCGGCGGCAAACGCGAATACGTCTCGCGGCTTGCGCAGCAGCAGGAACTGCAGGAAGTCGGCGAGGATTGCTTCAGCTCGGGATGGCGGCGCATGTACACTCCGTGGTCGGCCTTCAGCTGTTCCTGTAACGACGGAGAAGAGAACGCGAGCAGTCGCATTTACATCTCGTCGCGCGTCCGTCGCGCGTCGCCGGCGCCCCTGGTGGAGCTTTTAGCACGCTGATCGCTAAATTTGTGCAAACGCCAAATTTGGCACACGTTTGCTGCGTGAAATGCTATATACAATGAGGAAACATGTGGACCCCAACGAAATGCCTATACATCTCGTTCGCTCTCACTTACACGCAGCCCTGTTCGCGTGACTTCCTTCCTTCTCCACTTTTGACAGTGACAGTACGTACTATCACACTATGATTGGTTCACGTAAGTGCTGCGATTGGCTGGCGGTACATAGTTGGCGCATGTAAATCCAAGCACCGGTGACACTCAATTAATGTACGAGCATGCACAGGCAGGTTATATATACGAGTGTTAACGATGTGTAATGTTGTTGTGCGTTTTGTTGTGCCATGCTGCCGTTTCAGCCATTTGCTTGTGATGGACGCACGCAGGACGGCTACACAGAAACACAGCGAATCTCCCAATCAAGTCTATTTCTCAGTATGTGTAGCTTTCTAAAAAATCTACAGCATCTTTAGACACAGTAATTGGCTAAACATCCATAAATTTATGCATATTCTTCTGAACATGTCTTAATTAATTTATGTCACCTGTGTTATGTTTGGCGTAGACACCTGAAGCCAATTAGTGCCACTTATGCAAATTAATGTCACTATGATGGGAAGAATCAAACCTAATTCAGGTGTGACAGGACATGTGTAAAATTTGGGAAATAGCCTAGGAGCAGAGGAAGGTATTGGGCTCAAGAAATTTCAAATGCATTTCTGAAATTCTTCTAAGGCAAACTGAATATTTGCTCTAATTATTATTGTTGTTTTAGATCAGGCTACACTATGGTAGCTATCAATTATACAGTAATACACCGATAACAAGTAATGTATTTGAGAAGAAAACGTGAAATTCCCTAATGTCAATCAAGCTTCCCATGGGCTTCTTTTACATAATTGAATATGCACTCCTATGGAAATTTTTTCAAAAAAAGTTGGCAATACCCGCGTCGCTTCTAATGCAAGCATAGTTATTAATCCAAGGAAACATTTCAAGTCAAGCACATATATTGAATTATTTAATAGTGTAAAACATGAAAATACTGGAGGGAAACCAGGAAGAGAAGGAGAGTTCAGAATAAGAGATTAGCATCTGGCGTATGCTAGACTGCAGTGATTGCAGGGGCATGCATCATGTGCACTGCAAGTGAAGGTATCAGGAAAGCATCAGGCAGGCAGGCACCCTATCAGGGCAAGAAAGCTAGCTAACGGGCTAGCAGCACACTTCAAGCTGGCCCGCTCGCTTTTTGGCAGTGGGCTGTAAATTTATTACATTGATTTTATTGGTGATGAGGGATTATTGGAGAAAAACGCAATCATTTATTTGAAAGTTCTGTAAGGTCGAATTACGTAACATATGCACAGCCAAATGGAGAAGAAGAAGAAACGACGAAACGCGATACGCTAACGTCATACCTTTTTGTCGAGAAAATTAGACTTCATCTGTAAATCGCTTTCCATTCAGCGCGTTTTTTCGTAACCCCAAAGCACCCTCTGGAACATAAGATTGCCACCATTAAATCTCGCACCTCCGCTCGAAAGAACGTGAAAGACTTCGAAGGTAAATCGAAGTCGACGTCCGACTGCATGCAGTATGTAAGGCGGCTACTAATACGCAGCACGTGAGGAACGCGGGATATATTCCAATTACGACACTACTTCCACTTGCGCATTAGAAACGAGTGTACACTGCCAGTTCACGACTCCCCTAGTGCTGGGAATGCAGGCGTATATACGCAAACGAAATCAAATCAATAGGACGCACGAAATTTGCCGCAAACAGCTAGGCAGCTCACGTGTTATTAACGTGCGGTAATTACTGGGTACGATGCTGGTTTGTTGCATAAAGCGTAAGTGAGAGCCGAGTTTGTCACGCCGATGAGCAGCAAAGCCTACTAATTGACTATACGGTGGTATTCCTATAAGCTTCATGGACACAGGCGAACCGACTTGTAACCTGTAGCTAGATGCCTGAAAATAGGCGAACGTTGTACAGTCACTGAGCTATGTTCCACATACATGAGCCAATCTCTAGTTTAACGCAGGCTTGTCACACTGCTTAATGTCTCATCATCTCCTTTGCTTTTTCATCATCCTCGATTATAAGTTCCGGCAGTAAAATTGTCGATAATTCTGGTAATGTTTAATTCTCACCAATTGAATCCCACAAAGAAATCACTGATTAGACATGAAAAATGCAAAACTTAATAATCTTGTAATGCCAGAATAATTTCACGTTAGAAGTAAAACAATTTTCATGCAGTTATTGATGTACGTGAGTAGAGTTTTCAATTATAAAATCATCAGACTCGTGTAAAATCACAGACGTACGTATATGCTGCTGTATATGTAACAAATATATATGCAACATAGAAAACCGCTGTATATACGTAACAAATATATATGTAGCATACACAGCCGCTGTATATATACATAACAAATATACATGTAACATACACAGCCACTGTACATATACGTAACAAATATACAATGTAACGTACACACCATGTACATATACGTACAAATACACATGTAACATACACGCCACTGTATATATAACGTAACAAATATACATGTAACATTACACAGCCACTGTACATATACGTAACAAATATACATGTAACTACACAGCCACTGTACATATACGTAACAAATATACATGTAACGTACACAGCCACTGTATATATACGTAACAAATATACATGTAACATACACAGCCACTGTATATATACGTAACAAATATACATGTAACATACACAGCCACGTGTATATATTACGTAACAAAATATACATGTAACATACACAGCCACTGTATATATACGTAACAAATATACATGTAACATACACAGCCACTGTATATATACGTAACAAATATACATGTAACATACACAGCACTGTATATATACGTAACAAATATACATGTAACTACACAGCCCTGTATATATACGTAACAAATATACATGTAACATACACAGCCACTGTATATATACGTAACAAATATACATGTAACATACACAGCCGACTGTATATATACGTAACAAATATACATGTAACAGTACACAGCCACTGTATATTATACGTAACAAATATACATGTAACATACACAGCCACTGTATATATACGTAACAAATATACATGTAACTACACAGCACTGTATATATAACTAACAAATATACATGTAACGATACACAGCCACTGTATATATACGTAACAAATATACATGTAACGTACACAGCACACTGTATATATACGTAACAAATATACATGTACGTACACAGCCACTGTATATATACGTAACAAATATACATGTAACTACACAGCACTGTATATATATACGTACAAAATATACACTGAACATACACAGCCACTGTACATATACTTAACAAATATACATGTAACATACACAGCCACTGTATATATACGTAACAAATATACATGTAACATACACAGCCACTGTATATATACGTAACAAATATACATGTAACATACACAGCCACTGTATATATACGTAACAAATATACATGTAACTACACAGCGCACTGTATATATACGTAACAAATATACATGTAACATACACAGCCACTGTATATATACGTAACAAATATACATGTAACATACACAGCCACGTACTGTATTATACTAACAAATATACATGTAATACACAGCCACGTACTATATATACGTAACAAATATACATGTAACATACACAGCCACTGTAATATACGTAACAATATACATGTAACAACACAGCCACTGTATATATACTAACAAATATACATGTAACATACACCAGCCACTGTATATATACGTAACAAATATACATGTACATACACAAGCCACTGTATATATACGTAACAAAATATACATGTAACATACACAGCCACTGTATATATACGTAAACAAATATACATGTTAACATACACAGCCACTGTATATATACGCTAACAAATATACATGTAACATTACACAGCCACTGTATATATACGTAACCAAATATACATGTAAACTACACAGCCACTGTATATATACGTAACAAATATACATGTAACATAACACAGCCACTGTATATATATACGTAACAAATATGACATGTAACATACACAGCACTGCATTATATAACGTAACAAATATAACTGTAACTTACACAGCCACTGTACATATTACGTAACAAACATATACATTGTAACGATACACAGCCACTGTATATATACGTAACAAATATACATTAACATAACACAGCCACTGTATATATACGTAACAAATATCATGTAACATACACACGCACTGTATATATACGTAACAAATATACATGTAACATACACAGCCACTGTATAATACGTAACAAATATACATGTAACGTACACAGCCACTGTATATATACGTAACAAATATACATGTAACGTACACAGCCACTGTATATATACGTAACAAATATACATGTGTAACGATACACAGCCATGTATATATATCGTAACAATAATACATGTAACGTACACAGCCACTGTAATATATACGTAACAAATATACATGTAAATACACAGCCACTGCTAATATACGTAACAAATATACATGTAAACATACACAGCCACTGTAATATACGTAACAAATATACATGAACATACACAGCCACTGTATATATATACGACAAATATACATGTAACATACACAGCCACTGTATATATACGTAACAAATATAATATGTAATACACAGCCACGTATATATACGTAACAAATATCAGTAACTACACAGCCACTGTTATATACGCTAACAAATATACATGTAACATACACAGCCACTGTATATATACGCTAACAAATATACATGTAACATACACAGCCCTGTAATATACGTAACAAATATACAATGTAACTACACAGCCACTGTATACTATACGTAACAAATATACATGTAATACACACGCACTGTATATATACGCTAACAATATTACATGTAACTACACAGCCACGCTGATATTATACGTAACAAATATACATGTAACTACACAGCCACTGTATATATACGTAACAAATACTACATGTAACGTACACAGCCACTTTTAGTAAATATACATGTAACTCACACACAATATACGTAACAATATCATAAACGCTACACAGCCACTGTATATATACCGTACAAATATACATGGAACGTACACAGCCACTGTATATATACGTAACAAATATACATGTAACGTACACAGCACTGTATATTACGGTAACAAATATACATGTAACGTCACAGGACACAGATAAACGTACAAACATTAGTAGCCACTGTATATATACGCTAACGAAATATACATGTACACATACACAAGCACTGTATATTTATATAGTAACAAAATATTATTAACATACACAGCCACTGTATATATATACGTTAAAAATATACATGTAACATACACACACTGTATATATACCGTAACAAATATATATGTAAACATTACACAGCACTGTACTATATTACGTAACAAACATAACATGCTAAATACACAGCCACTTGTATATATACGTAACAAATATACATGTAACGTACACAGCCACATGTATATCAGGAGTAGATAATAGGGAGGAGTGTGACATCAATAAACAAAGCGGAAATTCAGGTCATTTACTGCCTTATAATACTACGAATTTACTACGACGTAACTCATCAACTTGAACGCTCAAATCGGACACGAGTACATTCGCCTCTCATCATCGGTGCAAATCGTTCCTTGTAGACACCCGCAAATCCGGAGAATACAGCCTAAACCGTATACGACACGATTCTCCATTTTTTGGCCATCAATCCAACGCCTCATGCAGCGCCATAATTCAGACAAACACGGCAGCAACACTGCCGCGCAGTCGCTGTGTTTGCTCTCTCGGAATGACGCGAATGGTCGGCGTTGTGGCTCGCGGGGCAGATTAGGACACTCGACGCAACACTCGATCGAGCCATAATCATGACCTTATTTGCCAGCTAGTATGCCACCCCCCCGCCCCAACACAACATCAGCAGAGCTCCTGCGGCTCGAAGCCACACCGCACTCGCGAGCCCACAACGCCACATTCCGCATTCCGAGAGAGCCAACACACGGACTGCGGCAGTCGTTCTGCCTTTTGTCTGAATTATAGGCGCCGCAATGGCGTTGGTTGATGGCGCCAAAGAAATGGAGCAATCGTGCTCCTACGTTTAGCGCTGTATCTCCGGATTGCGGCGTGTCTACAGCATAGGAAACGACTTTTCGCACGAATGATAGCGGCGAATGTACTAGTGTCCGATTGTAGAGCTCAGGTGATGACGGCTTACGCGTAGCGATAATCGTACGAGATTAAGGCTAGTAAATGACGAATTTCCCTTGTTTATTGATGTCACACTCCTCCCTATTATCTACTCCTGATGTATATATACGTAACAAATATACATGTAACATACACAGCCACTGTATATGTGACGTATCGAATATCGGCACGCGACCTGCCAGCATAAACACACTCATCTGTTACCAGGATCTGCGAATAACATACCCATCGGTGAGGTACCATGCTCTCCATGTCGTAGGCTTGTCCAATAGGGAATGTATAGTCCTCTCTATACCGACTACAGGCATTTCTTGGTCAACAACTGCGCGAGTGTCCTCGCCGAGGCTAGCCTGGAATAGTAGCGATGCAAGATCACGATCACGATCGTCCACCGTCAATTTACAACAGGCGGCAGAAATACGCGCGGAATTGTCGCGAATGGTCACAAGCGTAGATGAAAGCACAAGTGTCGCGCGCGAGTTCCACACCGCGACGCGCCGACGTGCCGACACCGCCGCTCAGATGCACACGCGTTCATTCTGCACTGGAACGACGCGCGATTCTTGCGAGCGCGCGACGCGGCGGTGACAGTGGGAGGACGGGCAAGCGAGCGACCCTCTCCCACCGCCCTCCCACTAAGACGACGACGACGACGGGAGGCTGGGCAGGGCTCACGGCCGTCTCTCGCAAGGGTCAGGAGGGCCGGCAGGGGGGAAAGGGAGGCTTTGTTTCTCGCTAGGGCGAAAGGGCCGGCAGGGGAGGGGAAGGCTTTGTCTCTCGCTAGGGTGGGAGGGCCGGCAGGGGAAGGGGGAGGCTTTGTCTCTCGCAAGGGCTGGGAGGGCCGGCAGGGAAAGGGAGACGCTTTGTCTCTCGCTAGGGTGGGAGGGCCGGCAGGGGGAGGGGGGAGGCTTTGTCTCTCGCAAGGGCTGGGAGGGCCGGCAGGGAAAGGGAGAGGCTTTGTCTCTCGCGAAAGCCGGCAGGGGGAGAGCCGGCAGGGGGAGGGGGAGACTTTGTCTCTCGTGAGGGCCGGGAGGGCCGGCAGGGAGAGGGGGAGGAGGAGGCTTTGTCTCTCGCTAGGGTGAGGAGGGCCGGCAGGGAGAGGGGGAGGCTTTGTCTCTCGCGAGGGCCGCGAGGGCCGGCTGGGGGAGGGGGAGGCTTTGTCTCTCGCGAGGGCCGGGAGGGCCGGCAGAGGGAGGGGGAGGGGGAGGTCCGCACTCACGTAGGTCGTCCGGCAGAGGATCACGTCGGAGTCGAGCGAGAGCAGGTTGAAGTGCGGCGCGCGCCAGTCGCCGACGCGAGCGAGCAGCCGCTGCAGAAGCAGGTTGGCTCCCTCTGAGATGAAGCCCTGCATCTGCTCGCTGCTGTACGTCCGCTGGTTCTTACTCACCTCCTGGCAACGGAGAGAAGACGTAGCATGGTATACATCCCCACTCATGGTAAACGTTCCCCTCCTCTACACTGCATGTGGGTATGGCTAGCAGGGCATGTCATTGCTGTGACTCGGATTTGACCCTTGTTGCCCACGCGCAATGTAGACTTGCCATAGGTGGATCTATATAATATGCTACAGCAGCTGCCGGTGGAAATACCTGAATTCACCCTGGGGGGGGGTAAGTATTTTAAAGGGGGGATCCCGAAGGCTGTAATTTGATATAAAAAGTATATGAAAGAATTATGAGAAATCTCAGAAATAGACTTCAAAGAATTTGGGTACAAATTTAATTATTGTATATTTTGTGTATTGGAATGATCAGGAGAACACCTGATGTGTGAAAATTCACATTTTCTTCCAATCACCTTATAAGGCACACTTTATAATTCATTATTTATTAATTATTATTAATATTATACAAAATATATAAATATATAAAAATATATATATATAGACTCTAGGACGCTGCGACCATAGAGTAGTGTAAATTCCAGCGGGTGCTCAAATCGCAGGATGAGCAAAGCAAAGGTTTAATTAATTAACAGCTAACACACAGCATACAGTTAATCCCCCCTCCCCTAACCCTGAACACGATGCCCCGCTCACCCCCCTCCCGCCGCTCGTGTGTCACATTGTGTACAGTCACACCCGCCCAACACCTACAAGGTTTCGCGTGCGGCAGCCACGGACAGAACGCCGCGCTAATAGCAGGAAGCGAGCGAGTGAAAATCCCGGCGCTTCAGCGCGGCACGCGTCGCCGATTAGCGTGCGTGCGTGCGTGCGTGCGTGCGTGCGTGCGTGCGCTGCTGCGGCTTACCTCTCCCTGCGTGACGATGCGGCTCACTGTGTACGTCTCGCCGTCTTTCTGCACGAACGTCTTACGATCCAGCGGATTGCTGTCGAGCTGGAAAGAGCGACGAGGCGGGGGCGAATGACGGCGCGTCGAGAAGTGCGCCCAGAAGACGCGCGCGCGCGCGAGCGTGGGTTTACTGATTTCTCCAGTTCTTTTGCGAGTCATTTTACTGCATTTTCGTAGCCGGAGCCGCGTGTGGGTGGCCACAAGCTCCGTGCAATTTTTCGGAAAATGACATGCGTTTAACAATCGTACAAAGAGCAATGTACAAATCACTCACGGGTGATTACATTCTCTATACAGTGCAACATAATATTTCACCCACTGTAATAAATTAGAGTATTACGCATTATACTACCCAACAATATAGATATATGGGATCGTGCCTATGCGATATCGTAGCCATGCACGCGATGTTCTACTGATATGTGATTATATGATATGAGATCGTACTAACAGGCAACTATACAAACACGAAATAGCAGTGGTAATGAAATGCAATTTCGCGATAGAAAATGAAACGGAAAGCTACGGATTGAGCGTCTAACCTTGACGTATTCATGATGCTCCTGATCTAGCGTTTGCAGAGAGGCGGTTACATAAGCTATAATGGACGTACCACACGGCACACCCGCTATCATCCCATGACTGTTCGCATGTATCAAGTAGCAGTCCTGCAAACACAATAACATAAACGCTTACTCAATTTTGACCCCGATATAATATCTAAGGAGTAACAAAAATTCACCACTTTTCAGAAAAATTTGTCCACCCTGAATAAATGCACACGCAAAGATGCACACGCACACATATACACACGCGCACGCAGTGCATACACGCACACGCGCGGGTATCTATTAGGTGTAAGTGCGATTTAAAAACATTGATAATTATCATCGAGACGCTTTCACCGCGAGCCGTCTCCGTTGCTCAGCTCTCGTTATTGCACGCAGCGACCCTCTCCCAGAATCCCACCGGCGCCCCCTGCTCCGGCGGCCGCCACCACCCTACCTCGGTGGCGCCCCCTGCTCCGGCGGCCGCCACCACCCTACCTCGGTGGCGCCCCCTCCTCCGGCGGCCGCCCCCACCCTACCTCGGTGGCGCCCCCTGCTCCGGCGGCCGCCCCCACCCTACTTCGGTGGCGCCCTCAGGGGGTTGTCGGGGTATTTGTGGCAGAACGAGGCGTAGTAGTCGGCGGCAAACGCGAATACGTCTCGCGGCTTGCGCAGCAGCAGGAACTGCAGGAAGTCGGCGAGGATTGCCTTCAGCTCGGGATGGCGGCGCATGTACACTCCGTGGTCGGCCTTCAGCTGTTCCTGTAACGACGGAGAAGAGAACGCGAGCAGTCGCATTTACATCTCGTCGCGCGTCCGTCGCGCGTCGCCGGCGCCCCCTGGTGGAGCTTTTTAGCACGCTGATCGCTAAATTTGTGCAAACGCCAAATTTGGCACACGTTTGCTGCGTGAGATGCTATATACAATGAGGAAACATGTGGACCCCAACGAAATGCCTATACATCTCGTTCGCTCTCACTTACACGCAGCCCTGTTCGCGTGACTTCCTTCCTTCTCCACTTTTGACAGTGACAGTACGTACTATCACACTATGATTGGTTCACGTAAGTGCTGCCGATTGGCTGGCGGTACATAGTTGGCGCATGTAAATCCAAGCACCGGTGACACTCAAATTAATGTACGAGCATGCACAGGCAGGTTATATATACGAGTGTTAACGATGTGTAATGTTGTTGTGCGTTTTTGTTGTGCCATGCTGCCGTTCAGCGCATTTTGCTTGGATGGACTGACGCAGGACGGCTACACAGAAACACAGCGAATCTCCCAATCAAGTCTATTTCTCAGTATGTGTAGCTTTCTAAAAAATCTACAGCATCTTTAGACACAGTAATTGGGCTTAAACATCCATAAATTTATGCATATTCTTCTGAACATGTCTTAATTAATTCATGTCACCTGTGTTATGTTGGCGTTAGACACCTGAAGCCAATTAGTGCCACTTATGCAAATTAATGTCACTATGAGTGGGAAGAATCAAACCTAATTCAGGTGTGACAGGACATTGTGTAAAATTTGGGAAATAGCCTAGGAGCAGAGGAAGGTATTGGGCTCAAGAAATTTCAAATGCATTTCTGAAATTCTTCTAAGGCAAACTGAAATATTTGCTCTAATTATTATTGTTGTTTTAGATCAGGCTACACTATGGTACGCTATCAATTATACAGTAATACACCGCATAACAAGTAATGTATTTGAGAAGAAAAACGTGAAATTCCCTAATGTCAATCAAGCTTCCCATGGGCTTCTTTTACATAATTGAATATGCACTCCTATGGAAATTTTTTCAAAAAAAGTTGGCAATACCCCGGTCGCTTCTAATGCAAGCATAGTTATTAATCCAAGGAAACATTTCAAGTCAAGCACATATATTGATTATTTAATAGTGTAAAACATGAAAATACTGGGAGGGAAACCAGGAAGAGAAGGAGAGTTCAGAATAAGAATTAGCATCTGGCGTATGCTAGACATGCAGTGATTGCAGGGGCATGCATCATGTGCACTGCAAGTGAAGGTATCAGGGAAAGCTATCAGGCAGGGCAGGCACCCTATCAGGGCAAGAAGCTAGCTAACGGGCTAGCAGCACACTTCCAAGCTGGCCCGCTCGACTTTTTTGCCAGTGGGCTGTAAATTTATTACATTGATTTTATTGGTGATGAGGGATTATTGGAGAAAAACGCAATCATTTATTTGAAAAGTTCTGTAAGGTCGAATTTACGTAACATATGCACAGCCAAATGGAGAAGAAGAAGAAACGACGAAACGCGATACGCTAACGTCATACCTTTTTGTCGAGAAAATTAGACTTCATCTGTAAATCGCTTTCCCATTCCAGCGGTTTTTTCGTAACCCCCAAAGCACCCTCTGGAACATAAGATTGCCACCATTAAATCTCGCACCTCCGCTCGAAAGAACGTGAAAGACTTCGAAGGTAAATCGAAGTCGACGTCCGACTGCATGCAGTATGTAAGGCGGCTACTAATACGCAGCACGTGAGGAACGCGGGATATATTCCAATTACGACACTACTCCATTGCGCATTAGAAACGAGTGTACACTGCCAGTTCACGGACTCCCCTAGTGCTAGGGGAATGCAGGCGTATATACGCAAACGAAATCAAATCAATAGGACGCACGGAAATTTGCCGACAACAGCTAGGCAGCTCACGTGTTATTAACGTGCGGTAATTACTGGGTACGATGCTGGTTTGTTGCATAAAGCGTAAGTGAGAGCCGAGTTTGTCACGCGATGAGCAGCAAAGCCTACCTAATTGACTATACGGTGGTATTCCTATAAGCTTCATGGACACAGGCGAACCGACTTGTAACCTGTATGCTAGATGCCTGAAAATAGAGCGAACGTTGTACAGTCACTGAGCTATGTTCCACATACATGAGCCAATCTCTAGTTTAACGCAGGCTTGTCACACTGCTTAATGTCTCATCATCTCCTTTGCTTTTTCATCATCCTCGATTATAAGGTTCGGCAGTAAAAATTTGTCGATAATTTCTGGTAATGTTTAATTCTCACCAATTGAATCCCACAAAGAAATCACTGATTAGACATGAAAAATGCAAAACTTAATAATCTTGTAATGCCAGAATAATTTCACGTTAGAAGTAAAACAATTTTCATGCAGTTATTGATGTACGTGAGTAGAGTTTTCAATTATAAAATCATCAGACTCGTGTAAAATCACAGGACGTACGTATATGGCTGCTGTATATGTAACAAATATATATGCAACATAGAAAACCGCTGTATATACGTAACAAATATATATGTAGCATACACAGCCGCTGTATATATACATAACAAATATACATGTAACATACACAGCCACTGTAAACAGCCTCAGCAGTCAGCCCTGAGACAGCCTCAGCAGTCAGCCCTGAGACAACCTCAGCAGTCAGCCCTGAGACAACCTCATCAATCAGCCCCGAGACAGCCTCAGCAGTCAGCCCTGAGACAGCCTCAGCAGTCAGCCCCGAGACAACCTCAGCAGTCAGCCCTGAGACAACCTCAGCAGTCAGCCCTGAGACATAGCAGCCAGCCCTGAGACATAGCAGCCAGCTCTGAGACACCTCTGCAGCCAGCCCTGAGACATAGCAGCCAGCCATGAGACAGCCTCAGCACCAGCAGTCAGCCTTGAGAGAGCCTATATGCTGTCACGCTGTAGCCGCACACAGTAGAAGCCATCACACAGTCGGGAGCGAAACGCGAGAATCTGCGATCGAAGCAGATTAACTTCATAACCTAGCCTGCTAAAGCAATTAGCGGTTTAAACATGACATCATTATGCTCTCAGTTGTCAGCAGTGATCCCCAGCGTTGCTGTTGTGTGTAGATCACCGCCTCCCAAACCCCCTACTTCGCCACGCCAAAATCAATACATTTATTTTAATTAGGAGCTGTTGTTCCGGTGCGGTGTTAAATTGAAAGACAAAAAAGTTGCCAAAAACTCGACTATGGGTAAAATGAAAGAAAAGCAACTTTGGTATTTCCTTCCGACCTTCTATAATCAGATGAAAATGACAAGATGCTTTTACTTCATTTTACCATACCATTTTTTTTGCAATTCCTAAACAAAACAAAGTTAATTCCTCGATCAATTATAATACAATATTGTTATCTGTCACACGGATGTTTGTCTTTCATAAAATGAGTTATCATATATATATATATATATATATATTCATAATTAAAAATGCAAAATTTAGGCATCTGTCATGAACTCAAAGCTTCTTGTTACGATGGGATTTGTGTTCCTCGTAACGAGAAAGGCCTGCTTTAATCTCGTGGCAAATCGACCATCAACTGCCATCACAAAACTGTTAGTTCTTCTTCTATTTATCCTAAACGTAATTAATTTGATATGAAAATATTGAAGACATTGGAATTGGGGGGGGGGATATATATAATCAGAAGATATATTGAGAATATTGATAGACTCCTAATATAATGGTTTCACATATATGAAGTGAAATGAGTGTGGCGTCATAAATCGGGATGAGTGCTCGTACTGCATGGTTTCCTTTAACAGACATTCGCAGTAAATCAGGGTAGTAGTAAGGCCGGCACGTACCTGTGAATGGCGTGTAGTTGGTTCGACACATATCGTAAACTCTCCCAGCTCCTTTCCTTGCTCCGAGAACGTCACTAAGGAATCTGTGTAGGTTAACCCGGATACCTCTGCTGGATCTTCAAAAGAATAGACATACATAACCTTGATGAAATATTTCGGTGCTTCAACATTATCTGGAGTTATATTTATTGACGACGTAGATAAAGAGAAACAGTACAAAATCAAAAAAAGGCTATCAGTTTTTTCCCGATGAGCACCAGCAGCTGACGATGAACGTGGGCTACTCCACATTCTAATGTCACTAACTTCACCTTGTTGTTGTTTTTTCCCCAAATAGTCGAGAAAAATTCGACTTCTATAGCCAAAAATTTGTTGTCTTTTTTGTACTAAATTCAGTGCAATATTCGATTACTATGCATGATTTTGATCCTCATTTAAACAATAAGGGAGCATGCACGCGTCCACGCACCTCCCTAAGTGGGCGGTGCAATTGATTTTCGCAATACTGATATCTACCCTAAATATAACTGAAAAGGCCGCTAAAACACAACATAATATCATAAATATATATATATAATTTATATGGCCATATCTTTCATATCTTCACACTTATACTCATAGCCATAGTTTCAATACCAATAGACTTTTTAGTAGCACTGCAACAATAACCAACATATAATTAACGTAACTGATTGTAACTTGGTATCACGTCTACATTGATACACTCATCGCATTCAGTACATGCTGACGTTGATACGCATATCGCATGCTGACGTTGCAGTTTCACAACGAAAATTATAACGACGACTGAGAAAAATGGTTAACAATTTTCTGTACTGCATCATCAAATAATTTATCCCCACTATGCTACGTGTTCAGCCAATCTAGAATACTGATTTCACACCTACCTACCTACCTGCCAATCTAATTCTGGCACGAGTTACGGCAAAATAATACATAAAGGGTTCCTCAAGAATTACAGTCTCAGCGGGAATCTGCCGATAATTTGATAGGGAACGGTGCATGGATGCATTGAGAGTATAGATATAGTTTGCAATTCAGCATGCTTACGGGAAGAACAAAAGTGATTGCCGCCATTGTTGATTCTATACGGCTCATGTTTTAATCTCTCCATTATAAATAACCAGTCAAAACATCGCAGCAATCGCGGAGCTCCGATTATACTCGACTAATTAGTTAAAGGGAAATAAATAACAATCACACATTCTCCAACTTCATTTACATGCGTTGTGAGCACGCGGATATGTAAATGAATGCAGTGATTAACAAAATGGTGCAATAGGCTGACAACAAAAATATCTAAACAAAGCACTTTCTGGAAGTTACTGTCAGTTATAAGACTCCAGAAGTCAGTCCTTCGACAGGATTAGCAGTCATGAGACAATGTAGCCAGACCTGCGACATGGTAGTTAGTACTGAGACATACTAGTCAGAACTGAGACATGGTAGTCAGTACTAAGACATACTAGTCAGAACTGAGACATGGTAGTCAGTACTAAGACATACTAGTCAGAACTGAGACATTGCAGTCAGTACTGTGACATAGCAGTGAGTCCCGAGACAACCTCAGCAGTCAACCCTGATACAGCCTCATCAAACAGCCCTGAGACAACCTCAGCAGTCAACCTTAATTGATACAGCCTCAGCAGTCAATCCTGATACAGCCTCATCAAACAGCCCTGAGACAACCTCAGCAGTCAACCCTGATACAGCCTCATCAAACAGCCCTGAGACAACCTCAGCAGTCAACCTTAATTGATACAGCCTCAGCAGTCAATCCTGATACAGCCTCATCAAACAGCCCTGAGACAACCTCAGCAGTCAGCCCTGGGACAACCTCAGCAGCCAGCCCTGAGACAACCTCATCAATCAGACCTGAGACAACCTCAGCAGTCAACCCTGATACAGCCTCAGCAGTCAGCCCTGAGACAACCTCAGCAGTCAGCCCTGAGACAACCTCATCAATCAGCCCGCAGACAGCCTCAGCAGTCAGCCCTGAGACGAGCCTCAGCAGTCAGCCCCGCAGACACCTCAGCAGTCAGCCCTCAGACACTGCAGCAGTCAGCCCTGCAGACTGAGCAGCGCAGCCCTGAGACATAGCAGCCAGCCTCTGAGACACCTCTGCAGCCAGCCCTGAGACATAGCAGCCAAGCCATGAGACAGCCTCAGCACCAGCAGTCAGCCTTGAAGAGAGGCCTATATGCTGTCACGCTGTAGCCGGCACACAGTAGAAGCCATCACACAAGTCGGGGAGCGAAACGCGAGAATCTGCGATCGAAGCAGATAACTTCATAACCTTAGCCTGCTAAAGCAATTAGCGGTTAAACATGACATCATTATGCTCTCAGTGTCAGCAGTGATCCCAGCGTTGCCTCTTGTGTGTAGATCACCGCCTCCCAAACCCCCTACTTCCCACGCCAAAATCAATACATTTATTTTAATTAGGAGCTGTTGTTCCGGTGCGGTGTTAAATTGAAAGGCAAAAAAGTTGGCCAAAAACTCGACTAGGGTAAAATGAAGAAAAAGACTTTTATTTCTTCCGACCTTCTATAATCAGATGAAATGCACAGATGCTTTTACTTCATTTTACCATGCCATTTTTTTGTCAATTCCTAAAACAAAACAAAGTGTAATTCCTCGATCAATTATAATACAATATTGTTATCTGTCACACGGATGTGTCTGTCATTAAAAAGAGTTATCATATATATATATATATATATATATTCATAATTAAAATGCAAAATTAGCACTGCATGCATAACTCAAGCTTCTTTGTACGATGGGATTTTGTTCCTCGTAACGAGAAAGGCCTGCTTAATCTCTGGCAAATCGACATCAACTGCCATCACAAAACTGTTAGTTCTTCTTCTATTTTATCCTAAACTAATTAATTTATATGAAAATATGAAGACATTGGAATTGGGGGGGGCGAGGCTTCACGATTATAGGTTATATTTTTTTTTTGATAAACGCTTTGTAGGAGTGACAGGTAAACGGGTCGAATCTAATATCTATACTTAATGTGAATGTATGATGCTGTTTGTTGTGTCTGGTTCTCAATCGCAAATCAATATCGCAGCACTCTGAAATATCCAAGGACGTTCAGTAGGGTAAATTTCTGATGGGGCTGAAGTGTGGCATGGGCACATTGATTGACCTCCAAGTGTCATCTAAGCAAAAAAACACACGAAACAAGTGCCGCGCGGAGCGCACAGCGCTCATCTAACGGTCTACAAGCGTGACTCGTTTGTGTCGGGGTAGTGGTGCGATTCTTAATGTAAACCCTGTGTAGTCCCAAAGCTTGTTGCACATACACGCCCGAATATCTATTGGGTTGGTGGAATGCACAGGCGAGGCGTATAGCGAACCTTCTCAAAGGAAGTTTGTTGGGCATCGTATGAAAGGTTGCCACGGGATGGCGCGTTACGTTTAAGTGTCTTCACATTTAAAGATGGCAAGCTCCCATCTTAGTAGTAGCAACAAACTATTGCAAAGACAGCTGAATAGTGTAATGCACTCTATCCATTTACCTGACGCAAGCCTACAGGCTGCATAGAGACTCCCACCTGTAACTAATTAAACGCAGGCCAAAAACTACCAGCAGTGCCAGCCACCACCGATGCCACTGGCACGTGGCGCACTGGCAGTGCGCCATACGTTAACAGTAAAATACTGACAGCTCACAAGAATGCCATAAAATTATAGATCTTAGAGAGCATAAACCTTCTTCAACCAAATTTAGCTTTTGAAATTTCACTGTGAATTGTAGCCTCGTACATCCAGCATTATAGATTCTAGCTACGCAAAACCCGCGCAGTCAAATTCTGTCTAACAGACAGTAAACTAAATCCATGTATAACCCTCTCATCTGAGAGGTCAAAAGGTTACTCCGACACTGTACTCTTACGGCGCAGGGGGGTAGTTCAGCAGAAGGACATTCGGATGCGCTCTTCAAAAAGCCATAAAAAGCTAGGTCACCCTTGAAACCAAAACAAGTTTTCAATCGCTCCGTCAGACCATTTGTTCCTCAGAGAAAATCGTCTAAAATCTGCCCTGTGCCCATTTTTGGACTTTGACCTCAATTGCGCACAGTGATGGCTCTGTCGTACGCATGATCTAGTAAACCGACTGATCACACCTATCGATGCCGTGTAGGATTTGGTGCCCCAATTCATGCCATGTCCTTCGCCTAATACCTTAAGTGTAAGATGTGAATGTTCCCCCTTCGTTTACAGCCTCTTGACCTTGACCTTGACTCCCTAGCTTCGACATCCCAACTCGTTTTGGACTGATCCCGCCCCCGGATGTGGGCGGGCGAATAGTATGGTACGTACGTCGACGGTAAGATATCCCACCAACGCATCACCGCTCGCATGCCCAACTGTTGGACGGACGGCACACGACGCACGGCACGACGGACGGACGGACGGACGGGACGTAACGATCGTTGTCCGATTCTACAAAGCTGCATCTACTATGTCAGAAATGAGCTAAAACGGAAACAAATAAAACGGCGCCCTGGAGCTACAGATTCAAAGTCAAAACACTTCCAAACGGGAGTATTCAGCTATTACTGACTACCTGAGAAAACAGTTAGATAATAAAATAATAAACAGATAGATAGATAGCTACATAGTTAGATAGATAGATAAGATAGATAGATGTGATAAGCTAGATAGATGATAGATAGAAGGCATAAAACATAGATAATAAGATAGATAGCATAGATAATAGATAGAATAGATAGAATAGATAGATAGATAGATAATAGATAAGAAAGATAGATAGATAGATAGCATAGATAGATAGATAGATAGATAGCAAGATAGATAGTATATTTATTGGGGGGTATTTTTCTTTCACACAACGTGGTCACAACTGACCCGTCTTTATTTGGCCGGGCGCAGCCCGCCGGGTATCCTGCCATACTAGGCTGCAATCGGTACGTGAATACCTGCGACTCATCCGCAGACATATCTCCCCTAGAATGTACGCGCGTCTGATCAAAAGTTAAGAAAGTAGCTGATAAACAATACAACCATCTAGATTATACCGCTAGGCATTGCTAGTTTAGTATCGTAAGTATGTGTAG